GTTTCTGGGTTTGCTCTGCGTGCTTGCGGGATATCTGGTCATATTCCGGGCGAAACATTAGCTCTTGGTGGATCTAGCGGCGCAATTCCAAGCTGGACGTTGGTTCTTGCTGGACCCACCTGCCTGCGTGAGGCCGGGTCTTGATTCTGGCGGGATCTGCCAGCGCGGTTTCAAGCAACGTCCTGTTTTTTCTTGTCCCCCAAGCTCAACTCAGTGCTGGATCCTGCCTCTTGGTGGATCTCCAAATTGGTTCCAAGCTGGTTTCTGGGTTGCCTGTCTCCGGTGCTAGGAACCGGGAACTGGTTTGAATGGATCCCGGAAAGAAATCGCGGGAACCAGGCCAACGGCTGTTTGCCGGTATGCGTGTTCATGTTTGTCAGAATCGTCGCACGTTCGCGCGCCGCAGTACGCCAGGGCGGCTTGGTCTGTTCGGGTTGCCAGTTTGCCAGCATTAAAAAATACATGCCTTCAAGACGGGGTTAGTTAGGGCAAGGTCTTGGCATTTTGACGTTGCAGATCGTAATATGTCATGCCATTCAGTAAAACCACTCCATTTTAAATGGGTTTAACCGACTTTCTCACCTTAGATCACGATGGCTGCACTTTTTATGCATCTGTGGCATGGCCTTATGCGAAGTCGGACACGTCTTAACGCCGTAGCTCAAGACGTGATGCCTCAGACAGCCTGCCCATGGCGTTCATGATGGTGCGCCACGCAGATGCTCCCTCGTGGTGGGCTCGCACCGACAGCACTGTGATTAGCGAGTAGACAGCAACGCGGTCAGAGGGTTGGTGGGCAGACCGGTCGGCAGCTCGGTCGATGGCAGTCTCTTGCTGGCACCGATGCCAAAAGGACACCGCTTTGGGAGCGAAGAGCAGTTCCTGCGCCAGGAGCGAGGTGGCATCTCAGGGCCGGGAGTTCTCGCCGCGTGGAGGGAGCCAGACAGTCATGTCGTCCGGCGCCATGACCAGCGCCAGGAGCATGAAGCCGGGTGGACAACGTCCCGTGGCGTACGGACACCGTAGCTCGGCCCGTAACTGCGGACAGGCGTGGCGGCGCTGGGATTGTAACGCCGTTTACGTTGTGGGCGATACTCATTTGCGGGCACAAAGCCAGACAGGTCCGGAGCCAGCAGCAACCCACCTGCGTCATGCGGACCGTTACTCGCGCCTGTTGAACAGCTCTGCCGATTTATAGTTTTCAGGATCTTAAAAAAATCATGTCATACTACCAAGATAGCTTGAAGGGAATGTTCCACATTTCAGGATATTGAGGCAGGCATCAGATATGATGGGAAAAGCTTACTTGTAACTAGTGGTAAGCTTTCAAGCTTCAAAAACGACGTTAAGTAGCAAAATTTCAAATTTTGTAAGAATGCGCCCAATACCTCATTGTTGGATGGCGCCATAAAATGGTTTTGTGACGACAGCAATACGTGGCAGCATCTGGCAGCCAGACCTAAAGAATACCTCAAGACACACGACAACTGACGCCAACCGGCCATTCTCGTCGCGGGGGCTGTGTCGGGTGGCGGATTAGTGGGTGGCTTGTTTGTGGATTTTTTGTCCTGGTGCTGACCGCAAGAAAGCCTTTGGTGGACTGTTTGACGTGCGCAACGTAACGGTGGCCAGCTTTTATGGCAGATTATTAATACCAAAGCACAATATGCTGTGCTGCTGCTGTTGTTGCTATGCTATTGATGATTTTGTCAATACTTTATTGTTGACCCATCATTGCCTGCAGCGCTGTAGTCCTGACATTGATATCATGTAATGTGCACAGTAGTTACTTTCTTTATTGTTTGTAACTGGAAATGCGGTGTCATGCGGAAATTAATTTTTTAACGTTGTCTGAATTGATTGCCAAAACCTTGCTATTGCTGTGGTAAAGATGGTTAGGCTGGGTTACTTTTTTTTGTTGCTTGGGATTGTTTATGCAATTAATACTTAACCCTGATATAACCATTGTGGTGCAATGACATTCTTGCTGTTGATAGCCTTTTGACATTTTGAAATCAGCTATTACCAGTCATTTATAAATTAAAAGCCGCTGTCTTATAGGTTTGGCATAGAGTAGTCAATCAATGTGGTACGTTGTGTATTGGCACATATCAACAGTTTCTTTGCGGCACTACCTCAGTGCTGTACTGTTGCATGACGTAATGAACAGTGATATGGTTTTTGTACTGCAATCCGTGCTGCTTTCACAATAATTCGATCATGAAAAGATGGGTCAAGTGTGCTCTCTTGTATTGACTCTCCATCTGACATATGACTGACCAAAAACACATGATACAATACACAAATCACTTCCAGCAAAACAGACAACCAGTAAGTGGCATCACTCGCTCAGCCTCTTTTGGGAATCCACAAAATATAGGTAAGAAAGATGCAAACATATCTTCCGCTTCCACAGTCATGCAACATGCTGCAGCCTTCAGGCTGCTTCACTAAAAAATAACAGGACAATTTTACACGTGACGAAATGACACTGCAAGCATGCTGACCTTGCACAAGGCTGCAGACATGCAGTTATAGTTACGTAATTTATAGGCGTTCAGTTCAGTGCATGTAGTTATAGTTGGATGGGCAAAATGCAAGGGAGTGATGAAGCTACCAGTGCACGCAAGGCTCATGATAAACATATTATTAAGCGCTGTCCAAGACACCAACAGCAATACTCTTTCACCTCTCTCAGCACCCAGCATCCCACGCAAGTTGCAATGACTATGACATCGATGGCTCATGAGCAACGCTTGCCTGCATACAAAATTTGTGAAGACAGTACAATGTGCATCAGTAATAATAGCTCTATATTTTAAACTGTTAAGGGAAAGGTAGTTTTGAAAAGCCATATAATTTGAGCCTATACTGAGGATGTTCCTTAATGAGCTGCACGCACCAGCCCCGACTCCCAAAATGAATTGCTAATGTACTGACCTGCAATGGATTAATCACATGCTGTAACACCTCAATAGGTTCAAAATGTTGGCAAGATCGTAATGAACTACCAGCTTGCCTTTGTGTACTCCTGCAACATAAGCACTAGTATTTCTTCTGCCATCGCACTTCCATGTAATCACTCGTTTGTTAAGAGTAGCCCTTTCCTCGTGGAATAACCCTCTGCGTGGTGATGCCTGATAATTGTTGCTTATTGTGTCAAGATGTGGATGATGGCATTGTTACTATCATGCATGTCTGAGGTGGTCGTAGGTAGATTCTAGATGAGCTGTTTCGGTTGGTTCACGACTCGGTGCTGCGGAAGAAGAGCAGAAAGGACGTGAGTGGCGTGCACAGATCGGTCAGGACGTCAGTGGTGTGACGTCTAGCCGGTCTCGTTGCGTACACCTGGAACCCACCCAGGCAATCACCAGCAAGCTTAATTGCACATCGTCGGATAATTTTGCGTCCAGCCTTCCGCCGGGACGACACGGCAGAGGTGCCTCCGCCGCGCCGGTCGGCCGTCGCCCCGTCTGACCGCAGTCAGCGTCTCTGGCCGACCTCGGTATCGGCCGCCGCGCCGTGCCCACCGCCGGGGGTTGACGTCCCGTGCCGCCGCGCCAGTCTCGTCGCGCTCCTCACCGGTCCCCGGGCGGCGGCGGCGGCGGCGGCGGCGGCCGGCGCTCCCACGCGCCCTCCAGATCTGCCCGTCACGCTGACAGCCGGCCCGCCGCCGACGGCTGTCGGTGCCAGCCAGCGGGCCACGGCTCAGCACGGCCAGCCGTCCGGCTGGGGTCGGCCGTCTTAAGGCCTTTCCGCGCACCCGTGTGTCCACTTCCCGTGGCACGCGTGCCCATTTTCTAGAAAAACTCTTGACCTTTACATGCGTGTGAGTTGCATGCTGAAGCTTACCGATGTTTTTCTACTTACCGGTCACTCACGCGGAGCCTCAGGGCACAGGATGGATTTCTTTAGATTCGCATGCCGATCCAAACCTGCGCGGCACGGAGCGATGAATTTCTACTGGGCTGTTGCCAGGCGTTGCGATGTCATTTACCGTTATTTTCATTTAATTCAACCACTTCTTATGCGTGTATTTTTGTGAGAAGGCGTATATGTGGTAGCCCAAATCTGACGCGTTTTCCATGTGTTCGATAAATGCGCGGGGCTCGCTGATATGTAGTAGCTTCAGTTACGCCAGCTTTTCCCAATCACTCGTGCAAAATACTAGACACCACGGACTTGCTCTATATCATTGTTGAGCAGAGGCATGCAAAATGAGTGAAACACAAATGCCTAAAGTTTGAGAAAGGATTCATACCGTGCCGCTGCTTGCATTTACCAACTCGCTAAACCTTCATCGTGCTTGGCAATGTATGACTGAGTGAAGCAGCGACGAACGATTGATGCATTGCTGGGCGAGGCGCGAACGCGTTGGCAGGGCGTGACATGCGCCTTGTGTTAGGCTGTCAGCCTGTTTATGTGTCTGCCGGCGCCCCCTGACCCGGCCGGAGTGGGACAGCCGGGCCGGGGAGCGGGATCCCGCCACCGCCATTCTGGCCGGCACGGAGTGGAGCGTGCGCCGTCTGACCGTGCCAGCAATTGTGACCGTGACAAGGGCCGTGACCGTGACTCGGACCGGCGCGGAAGTGGCTGTGTTTGCAACCGTGACATTGAGACAGTACTAATTTGTAAAGGCAAGTATTGCTGCGGTCATCGCACGCGCTACGTTTTGCCACTGTCAGAGGGATCCGTCTTTGCATAGAGAGCAATAGCCGACAGAGGGGGATGATTGTGTGGCCACGACCAGCGCCGTGATCGTGTGAAGGCTTCGCTTACGTGGCCGCGATAAGAGCGTAGCCGTGACTGCATCCCTGATCGCACCGGTGGTGGTGGCCGTGGCTATGACTGCGGCCCCAACGGTGACCCTGATTGTGACCCAGATGGAGACCCGTGATCGTGGCGAGAGTCGAAGCCGCGATGACGGCGTTGCTGCTGCGCCCGCCACGCCGCTGGCCGGGGCCGCGATGACGAGCTGGGCGGCGCCGCTGTTTCGCCAGGATGGACGGTCTGCGTGCGGTGGACGTCATGCCGCTGCTGCGGGACCGCGTGGCGCTGCTGACGGGCGCGCGTGACCCGCGCGGCGGCCCCATCCTCACGTTCCCCGCCAGCGCGCGCCGCGACCGCACCGGCCACGAGGACCTCTGCCAGCTGATGCGCTACATGTACCAGATACCCAGGTACGGCGTCTGGCGCTCAGCGTCTCCGGAGGTCTACGGGGGTGGCGCTCTGGTCTATCCCGGAGCGATGACTTGTGTGCACTTGCGCCTTCTCGTTCAGTTACGAGGAAAGGGAGCAAGTGCACGTTGTGAAGTGTGGCGGTGATTTATGACGAGATATATGGTGCCCTGCCTCAAAGTCGCGAAAGACGCTTGGACGTTATGTATTGGCGCTTGCGATCTTGGTGCTACATTTGCATTCGCTGCATTCGTATGGGTCCAGTCTGGACACCATCATTAATATCCACGTAATAAGCTTTATAGATGCGACGATTAGGATTTCGTAGTCGGAACCATGCTCAAGGCTACCCCGTCCGAAAAATGGCTGGGAAATATTCGTGGGAGACCTTGCAGTTGGCATCAGCGTACGCTCGGACACCGCCGCGCAGTCCGTTGTGCAGTTACCGCTGTCCTGATGGCATGCGTCTGGTTTGCGTGACCTTTCCACCCGTCGCAGTCTTGCCGCATTGTAGGGAGCAGAATGCAGCACCTCGCATTGATCAAATTTGAAGAGTGCGGCATCGAATCCGTTTTCTTTTTACGTCCGCTCTGTGGTCGGAACTTTTTGCTTAGCTTGTAACAATTCTGTAAACTTTGCGCTGCGTGTAGGTGCTATGTGAGGCGTGCATCTGTTAGCGTTGCTTTCACTTTCACGGTGTTTCAGAACGCAGTTGTGGCAAAATTTGACTGTTCGGGAATTATTATGGCTCAAAAGGTACGTTTTCGAACCGTCGTCTTCTCATCGATTCACAAAACCGAAATTAGCAAACCAATTAATAATAGGGACAGTGTGTTGAAGTCGTCTTCGATGACCGTTGGCTCACTCGTCCTCACCGCCCACCTCGCCGCCACCTCACGCCTGGCGCTCGGTCGGAGCGTTGTGTCCATTGTGACCCGCATGACCTCAGCTGTCGCGCGCGCGTGTAAACAGCCGCTGACGGCGGGCAGGGCGGTGCGCCGCTGCTGGCGGCTTGCTCCCGCGGCCGCGCCCCGAGCAGGCCGGGCTGCGCCGTCCCACGTGCTCGCGCCGACCCGACCGACCGGATTCCGCGGCGGCGCGTTTCCTACGGCTCGGCGCGGCGCGGTGCGCTCCGGGCCTGCGGCACTGCAGCGTGAGACGGCGACCGGCTGTAGGCCTTTGAGAGGAGCACTGCCGCGCCGCCGCCGCCGCTGCCGATTGCCAGACGTGGTGCACGCTGGGCCGGCAGAGGCGGCGGCGGCGGCGGCGGCGGCGGCGGCGGCGGCGCGGGCGCGGCCGGCCGGTGCGTGCGGCGCCGGGCGAGAGCGGTCGGCCGGCCGAGTGATGTCATCGCACCGGGAGCTGCCGTCGTCCCGCACCGGGTCTGTTTGTCCGCCGGAGTTTTTATGGCCGCCGCTGACGACGCGTCGAGCCGGGGGGAGGGGAATGGGGCGGACACGCCGGGACGACTACTGTTGAGCTGCGAGCCTCGGCGCGCGCAGCCAGTGCATCGCGGGAATGGGGGCGGCGGCTGCTTGCTTTGGAACGGACTGTTCGTGGTTCCTCGCGTCACTGAAAGTTCCATGAGCGGCGGCGGTCGGCCTCGAGCCGCCCCCCCCCCCCCCCCCCCCCCCGCCGTCGACGGCGGAGTTACGGCCGCAGCCGCCGCCCCGACGATCTGTGGAGATATGTGGGCTGCGCTGGCCGTCCGCCGCTCCTGCGCCGCCGGTGTAGCTGGCGGCGTCGCGACACTGGGCCTACGAATGCAGCCGGACTGCTGATGAAAAGACCCGTCCAGTTTTATTGGCTGTCTGTTTATCAACAAGTTACTGCCAGTGTCATGTCTTCTTTGAGAGGAAGCCAGACGGATATAAATATATTATCGATACAAATTTACGACTATGAAAGAGCTCTAACATGACGTTAGTTTGTTAACCACAGCGAAGTTTACTCTTCGGTTGTCAATAAAGCTGTATGACGCTATCATTGCTCGCAGGCGCAGCCACGACCTTGATATAAAATGCTGGTAATGCCAGGTACTTACGTCTGAGACGCTCGCTGTGTTGATATGATGTTGTGACATGGCTGGTGTGATTTGACGCAAGCCTGACGCAAGCCTGACCATTCTGCCGCCCGCAGCGATGAGTCACGCGACCTGGGCTTCACCGTGGTGATCGACATGCGCCACTCTACCTGGGAGAAGATCAAGCCCATCCTGAAGGTCCTGCGCGACAACTTCCCCGGCAACGTGTACACCGCCTTCATCCTGAAGCCGGACAAGTTCTGGCAGAAGCAGCGCACTAGCATCGGCAGCTCAAAGTGCAAGTTCGAGGTGGGTCGCGTCGGGCACGTCGGCCGACGTACGGGTGGTTGTTGGGCCCCGTGATCGATGCGATTTGACGGCTCAGTTTGGACAGGATCAATGGACTGTCACAGCCAATCGGGGGGCGATTTGGGGCTTTGACCCTGGTGGCCTTGTGTGGATTGTAGGGCCCCACCGGCTAAGCCCCTGGAGCAGATTTGCCCTGCATTTGGAATGGCACGAATAGCGAACCCGTCTGGTTTGAGCCGCGTGGCCTCGCCTGGCGCGTCCCGTTCAGCGCTTCGTGGAAAGGGTCCTGGTGCTTTGGCGCCACGAATGGCTCGATGCTTTGCAAAAGGGTTCGCCTTCCGTTCCCGTCGTGACAAGTGTAGACAGAATTGGTGTGCCTCAGGCACGCCCACGGCTCCCTGCTTCACACCATCTTGGCATGGTCCGCAACGCGGCGTGTTGTTATACACGCTTTTTTGTATGCGGATCGATCTCGATGTGGGGCCCGTCGGTGGAGCGGCGGCGCCGTCTCGTCCGGCCGCCGTCCGCGGGATCGCGCCTGCCTCCGACGGCGCGGCGTCCCGCGGGCCCGTCGGAAATGCCACATTGGGACGCTGCCGAGAGCCGTAACGTTTATCGTAGCTCGATAGCGGCGCTGTAAACAGTGACCTGGCGACTCGCTGGGGTACAGGACGGCACCGGGCCCCGTCCGGCCGCGTGGCCCGCTCCTCGGTCACGGAGACGCCGTCCGCTTCCGCCCCGGCCAAGGGACGCGCGCCGCGTGCGCCGGCGACTTTGTTCATTTCCTTGACGATGCGACCTTTTTGGCTCAGATGGAGTTCCCGGAGGCCCCTGGATTGTGGTAGACCGTGTGTAGAGATCCTGGGTTGATGGCCGGTATACCGAATCTCGGAGGTGGATGCGGAACGGGCATCTCCATGGTACTTAGCACTGGCTATGAATTCCGACGGCGTTAGTTTGAGATGGGACGAGAGTTTCTGGTTTGTTGTGGTCTCGCGCATACGGTGCTGCGGAGTACGTTGGCGTTTGTGATGCCGTTTACAGGTTGTAAAGTCGCGTCCTTGGTCAGGAACTCCAGTGAACTTTGCCCTTGCCCGCCTGAGGACATGAGATGCCGACTCCAAATTGGGATAGCAGTCACTAGTTATGATCTATTAAGCTCGCATGTTCAGCGTTGAATCGGATAAATGACCAGATTTCGGGCAAACCCATCAATGGAAAGTGTGTTGCAAGTTCTTAGTACCCCATCCCGTGATGAAACTGCCTCGCCGATTGCGTTAATAATGCGCCTCTGTGCAGTGCCTCTGACATTTGCCTCTTGGTGGCAGACGAACCTGGTTGGACTGGATGGCCTGCACAAGGTGATCGACCCGGGCCAGCTGACGGCCGACCTGGGCGGGTCGTATCCGTACGACCACTCGACCTGGGTCGAGCTAAGGACGGTGAGTCGCGGCCTACGGACAGCGCAGCCCCGCCGTGTCCTAGGCGGACCGCAGTCCCTAGTCCCGCAGCCACAATATGCCAGTGCTTACTTGACCACGTGGCCGGTAATGGCCGGCCTGGTGGTGTGCTAGCAGCTGACCGCTTATGAATTGCCGCCAGGCCGTCGAGGACTTCCTGTGGCAGACGACCGAGGTGCTGGACCGAATGGACGACCTGCGCGAGGAGCTGAGCCACGAGTCGGGCCCGGCGGCGGCGCCGGGCGACGTGGCCGCCGCCCGGCGCGCCATCGATCGCCACGCCGAGCTGCGCAACAAGGTCTTCAAGAACGCCTCTCACGACATGGACAAGCTCGGACAGCGCCTGCTGCAGCGGTGGGTGGACGCCGATTGTGGAGCGGCGCGCCGCGCAGGGCGGGGGCGCTGTGTACGCGCTCTGGTGACATGCTGGGCCCGGGTAGGGTGTATTCAATGGTCACATGGAGTTCGGCCGGACCACGCCACACACCACGGTGAAATGTCGCACGCGGCGCCGACAGGGGGACTCCCCCTACGCGCCCCGGACAGCACCTCCTATCCTTCTCCCAAGCCGCCCGCAACACGATCTGCGTGCGACTCGCCGGCGCCATCGCGTCCCACCCCCATCGGCGCGTCCACGGGCTAGCGCACCGCCCCGAGCCATGACCACTTCCCTCACTTGGACATGAAACATCGCCCCACTCGTCTTACATGTTGACACTGTCCGGGGACATGATCTACCGCTACACAGGGTCGGACATCGAGTGCAGCCGTTCTGCAAAGTGGTATGAAATCTCTGCGCGCTTGGTTCCGTAGGCATGGGGAAATGTTTGGAGATGTTTGGGGATGGGTTGGGGTCAAGCGGTCCGACTAGTTGGCAATGTTTAGTGTTGCAAGTTCTGCGGACGAAGGTAGGTTCACGATATGTGGGGAATCTGATCCTTTTTTTTGTTGATGGGCTGAGGAAGTCGACCAACTTGGAGCTAGAGTGCTTGTCCAGCCGTGTAGCACACAAAGGGCAGGCTTGAGCAATCGCGAAAGCGTTTGCTCAAGCCGTATTTTGAGCCCTTGCGCTCAAAATGCGTCCGGCTTAAGACAAAAAAGACCGTCGCGGAGATCACAGTGGCGCAGGTAATCATCCCAATCTCGGCTGCGCGTGCGCACCGGCGTACGTTGACGCGGCGCCACTGCCCTTTCCTCTCACCGAGACGGCGTGGGGCGGCTTAGAGGCCGCTGGGGGCCGGCACTGTGACCCCGCCCGCCGCCGCCCGATCAATCATCTCCGCTAATCGCGCCGCGCGAAGGGCCAGTTGTCGGTCAGGTGGCGACCGCGCGTTATGTACGCTGGCGGCCGGCGCTGGCCGGCGGGGTAGGGGAAGTCGGTTGACGTGCTGACTCGCATGGGGCTGGGGAGTCATGCGCGCGCACGGGCACCTCGGCGGACTGATGTTCGTGCCCGCCTAGCCACCGGGGTCGGACACATTTGTCTGGCACGGGAGTGTTAGTGATGGTTGGATGCCGCGGGTTGGTGATAATGCGCTTGTTCCTGTTGATTAGATCGGGAAACACGCAAGGGTTGCGCGTGGAGTAACAGCATATGGAATGTTGAAGTATGCTTACTGAAGTTGAATGAACAACACATCAAAATGATAATAGACACCTCAAGCTCAACCGGCATGGCATCAAAATGATGTAGACGCCAGCGAATGGTCAGCTCGCGTTAACGTAATGGCATTGCAACATGTGAGGCAGTTGGATGGTTCCTATGAGGTGAAGCGCATCGTCAGAACTATGACCACATGCTGCTGCTGTTGTGTGTGTGTGTATGGTGCTATTGGAGACGGTTGGTGCCAATTGATTACGGCTTGTCTGTGGTGAAATCGCTGCTGCAGCAGGCATGTTCGTGCCGGCAGCAGTGTCTGCGTTTGTGCTGCTGCGCAGGAGCGCTGGTCTCACCAATATTGTTGCTGGCTGGCTGGCTGGCTGGCTGGGTGTGAACATCGTGTGCCGTTTGCCGCCGCGCTGTCGTGACTGGCGCCACCGGCGTGGCGCGGCCTCTGTCGCAGACTGGGCGGCGACGGCGACAGCGGCTGCGACTCGGGCTACGCCGGCGCCAGCCGAGACAGCGCCTCCAGCATGATCCTGTCCAACCCGGACCTGCAGTCGTGCATACCGCAGGTACAGCGCCAGAGACGCGCACACACACCGAACCACCTTAGAGGCAGCAGCGTGTGCGTGCGCGCACGCTCGGCAGATGGTCGTCAGGCACGCCGCCGCCCGGGAGTCAGCGGCTGTGACCGCTGTCTCGCTCGGTCAGCTGGTCTCGCTGTCTCGCTGTCTCGTTCGTCTGTCTCGTTCAGCATGCGGCCAGCTGGTGCCGTGGCTGGAGTGCAGCCGCGGGCACGAGCGGCACATCGACGCTCCTAGCGACAGGTGCAGTGGCGGCGGACGAGGTCGCCCGGCGCGCGTCCGCTCGTGTGGCGGCGGGTGATTGTGTGCGTCTGGCCGGCGGCGCGCCGCGTGCGCTCCGTTGTGCGGCGTTGTTGTCGGGCGCGGGCGGCTGCCGACGGAACCGGCGCAGCTGCTGTCGCGCGCTGCGATCGGCACCGCTCCTTGAGTGCCGGTGTCGGCCCGGCAGGGGTGCCAGTCTCTTTCGGTCCGAGTTTGTCCCGGGAACCGATGGTGACAGTGCGGGCGCCATGATTTGGGGGGATGTCGGCGACAAAGACCGCGATTACGCAAACCATGCGGGAATGACGTTATGCCATACAGTTATGCACGAGCAAGCAGCTGGCTGGTGCCGGTCCCCGCCACGCTCCCTAACGCTCTTCAAGTGCCCACACATACATTGGATAAATGGAAATGGTCGTTCACGCCAACATTAACTTATCTCGCGCTGTTTTTGCGATGGGACGTTACACTGGCAGCCAGATGCGGCCCATAAAATGCAACTCCTGGCAACCGCCACAGTGGTATACACGTCCTCGGCGTGCATACCACTGCCCCGTGTGGGGCTCGCTGCGTTGGCAGAGCGGCAATTCCTCGCGGCGGTCGCGCCGGCGACGTCGCACGTCGCTGCCGGCCGGAGATGCGGCCCGGCCGGATATGAAGCGGCCCGGCCGTCGCCTCTCTCGTCCAAAAGTGCCGGGCTCGCCGACCGGCGCGTGGCGTGGGCCGGTACGCCGAGCCCGGACCGCCGGTCGCCGCAGCTCTGCCACCCAGCCCTGACCGGACTGGGTGGCGCTGGCGCTGCGGTGGCGACTTACCTCCGGGCAGCCGCGGTAGCTTCAGCCAAGTCGGGCCGTCGCAGCCGACGTGCAGGGAACGACAGCTACAAGAGTGCTCGTTCAACGTGAACCTTGCTGCCATGGCATCAATACCCATTTCTATCGATTAGCGTCTTCGTGCTTCGTGGTATCCAGTCGCGCTTGCCCGGCGTTGGGGTCTGTGGCATGTGCGTGGGAGAAGGGAGCTCCCGACCACAACGCATAGCCCCGGGAGGCTAACTGCTTCCATCCCAGCGCGACAGCAGACATGCTGTCGGCTGTGTGTATGCGAGTGCCTGCGAACGTGTCCATAAGCGAGCCGAATCGTGGGAGTTGCGCCAGGTCCGTCGCCTCTGGAGATTGTGCGGCTGTCGTCGCTCTCGTAACGACGGTCGTCGTGGTCGACACGTCGCCGGCGGGGCGGGGCCGCGCGGGATGCGTGCCGCTTGTCCGTCAGCTAAGGTTGTCGCGCGTTGTAGACGCCCCCTCCCCCCCCCCCCGCGGACCGAACGCGCCGGGCTGTTGGTGCTGCTGCAGGCCGGCGTTCGACGATACGGTGGGACATCGCTATTGGCCGTTACATTGAGCCTTTGGTATCACTGCAGGTCGGTATTTTGGCCTGGGACGATGACTTAAATGTAGACAATGCATTGGGCGTAATTGCGCGCCGGGTCATTGGGCGTTAAAGTTGGCCGGGCGGGGCTGGCGGCTGTACTGCAGGCTGCGCTGAGTAAGACAGCCGCCGGCACGAGTGTTTTTTCCTTGCTGGTTGATGCACTCTTGAAGCCAGATTCGTTCTGCTCCGAGTTGTGGGCAGTTTTGTCGAGTGGCGTGGTGCAGCAAGTACGTGTGCGCTTATTGAAGTCGGTCGAGGCGCGTGTCGAGTGTGAGGTGTCTAGCAGCGGTGATGCCGACGGCTCCGAGGGCTGGGTCGGGACGGTGTGGCGGCAGCCGACACAGGCTCCGGCCTGTACCGGTGTGGCCCGACGTCCTGCGGTGCCGGCCAGCTGGCCAGGTCTGCACTGGCTGGCGTGAAACCGACGGTACCCGCCAGCCAGGTGGAGCCACAACGGTCGGGTTTGGCACAGTGAAGCTGACTGCACCCGCACCTGGGTGGGGGAGGGACTCCGGTGCGGTTGGGCCGGGCGTGCGTGGGACGGCCGCTCGGCCGGACCCTGGACGCCGCCAGCGGAGCGTGACTGGTCTCTCGGAAGGAGGCTGGCGGCTGCTCTCCCTGTTATGAGATGACTCACCCGTCTGGTGGTCCATTAGCCCCTGCAGCGGACGATTATGTATGTGTTTGTAGCGACATGGCGGCCAAAAAATGTCTGCGCTGCAAACGCGGGGCTATGCAAGGCACCCTGAACACGGCCATTTGCTGTAATTGCTCGTGCGCCTGCGCTGTTAGTAAACGCGTGAATAAGCACTGTTAATGTATCGCCACGTGTATTCGACAGATTTTGCATACCTTGGAAACTATGCAGATTACACAACGTCACCTACAACAGCTGTGGCAGTACAAGAAGAATGAGCTGGATCAAGGCCTGCAGCTGAAAATATTTGAGAAAGAGGTGGAGGAGGTAAGGGTCATGAGGGCACGTGGTAATTCTGCATGGTACTGTCAAGGCATGAGATATCCACGACTTATTTATGACGAAGGAAGAGACAGTGCTATTTTCCTTGTTCCCCGTAGAAACCCAAGAGAAAGGAGAAATGGATGTATTGATATTTCGGCTACACACCTTTATCGAAACGAATGGTATTAGATACGGGCATGCTGCCGAAGTATCATATGCATCTATTTATTTTTTCCCTGGTCATTATACGGGGACTAGGCCAACAGTGCTGTGTAATCTATATGTTTAATGCTCCCCGCACATGCAATTGATATCATTATAAAGCGAAGGAAGTCCACCTAGTTGCTGTTATGATTTAATTACCAGAATGTTCTCCTTTTCTTACAGCGGCCCAAGCTAAGTTGTATGTAAAATAGCCTATCCCTTATCCGTGGGCGAGGACTGCTGGTGGTCGTTGTTCATCGTGGCATTAGGCAACCAGAAGTTTGGCTGGTGACCTTATTTGTATGTTTCGAGAACGATCCCCAAGGATCTCGCACGAGAATGTCCACAACGTAGATGCCACGCGCTGAAGCCTCAGTATGATCTCAGCATCTCTTAATATAACCTTAGCACGGGCTGCACTAGTGTGTGTAGCCCGTTCTAGGGTTTGCAAGTCTTGCAACGATTTGCCCACGTGCCCACGAAATCCTTGTTTTAATAGCTACTGCAAGAATACAAGATTGCCTCCATTTCGGCCGGTCACGTGACGCCGTGTGCGATGGCGCACGGCGGCCGCACCACTTGCCGAATGTCGTGCTTTAGATCCTGCAGACGGTGCGCCAGAAGAGGGAGCAATTTCTGCACAGCTACGTGGACGTGGGCCGCTCCTACCGTGAGAGCAAGCAGCTGCAGGAGCACCACTCGCACTCGGCGCTCTCGTCCATGGTGAGGACCCCGCGGCCGGTACTGTCTCGGCGCCAGTCCCTCGCCGTCGGCCACCGGCGGCGACACCCCGGCGTCGCTCAGGAGCGGGTGGATGACGGACGTCCAGGGTCGGCTGAGCGGCGCTAGCGTGCGACACGAAGGGGGGGGGGGGGGGGGGGCGTTTGGCGGGCGGAGGACGGTGATGCGTTGACGTGAATCTGAATGCGACTGACGTGTCTGATTTGCGTCGATACGACACAGTTCGCGGCAATGACACGGCGTTGGTTGCGGGTCGCTTTACAGAACGTCTACGTCAACCTGAACCGGATTCTGACGGAGGCGACCAAGCTGATCGATTCGGGCCACTACGCGTCGCAGCACATCCAGCAGGTGAGTACTCAGGACCGGAGAGGACGGGGATGTCCTATCGTCAGCGGCCAGCTCGTGGCTCATACTGCCCGCCCTTGTCCGAGCAGCTTTCCCAGCAGGAGGTCTCAATGTAGGTTGGGACACAGGCACACGCTTGCCCGTGTGCGGGCCTGTGACCAGGTACCATCTGGTGTGCGTGCTCGTGTGCGTGCATGCGTGCTCGTGTGCGCGCGTGCGTGCGTGTGTGTGAAGGGGTAGTTTTGATTTATTTTTGTCATCTCCGTTTGCTAGATTGCCTTGGTCTTGTCTATGTTCAGCCCTCACCAGCGCATGTTGTGTGCGTGTTCCGTTATGCTGTGGTGTGATGCCTGCTCGCTCTCGCGTGTCTTCCCGTTTGGTCCGTATGTGGGCAGGGGTGGTGTGGGGCGTGTCCCGCCGGACCCGCGACACTCCGTCCCGAGCTCCCCGCCTGACGCCTGCTCCGGCTGGCCGGCAGGTGGCGTCTCGCATGGAGCGTAGCTGGAAGGACCTGGCGGCCGGGCTAGACGAGCGCACCACTGTGCTGACCCTCGCCGTAGTCTTTCACCAGAAGGCCGAACAGGTGGGACGCGCCTCCAGCCAGCCCGCGGACATCGTGACTGTCAGGTGGCGTGGCTGCTGCGTGGTGGTGACGGAATGGGGTCGCTCCTTGTCATTCTAGAGATAGCGTAGCTGCGGGTGTTGATGTCCAGCCAACTCGCTTTTCGTTGTTCTATATGCAGTTTGATGGACGACCATTGCTAACTGTGAAGTGTGGCCGATATCCTGTCTTCCCCCTGTCCCACCTCTTGTTGTCTTCCCAGTTTTACCTACACCATAATTACTACCGCATCCTTGGGTCTTAAAATGATTCATTATTTCAGCATGGAACATGGATGTTCACGTCCCTTTTGGCCCATCTTCCAGTTGTCCATCATCCCCTGACACCTGCGCCTTGTGCTGATGCGCGCTGCGGGGGGCGTCCGCTTCCACCTTTGATCATTACTCATTTGAAGAAGTGAACACACATTTGCGTTTATCCGTAATATCCAGCAAGCCGGTTGTTCTGTTCACTGGCACTTAGTCTTCACATGACACACATTTTGTGGGTCTGCATTATTTCGTTATTCACCTTTTCCACCACATTTCTTTTCCTCGGCAGCTTCCAAAATTGTGGCCAGTGAATTAATCATGCAAGCTCAATGTCGCGAACCTCTGCAACGCCAGAGTTGTATACAATGGCCCCATTGAATGGCCTGCCGCTGCTCTCACTTGATAGCCGTCATGATGTTGTTTGTCCGTGCGCCTGGCCAGCGTCGGCTGCCATGGCTGTTGTCCTGACGGCACCTGTTGTCCTGGTCTGACCGGGACCCCTGCGGCGGGCGCCCCGTTCCAGTACGTGGAGAAGGTGCCCGGCTGGCTGCAGAACTGCCAGGACCTGGACATACCGGCGGCTGTCGACCAGGTGGAAGCCGCCATCCACCGTCATCTAGCACTCTACGAGACCCTCTGCCAGGGCTACACAGAGGTGAGCCAACTCGGCCCGTCCAGAGGCACCCTCAGATCAGACGCCAGGGCACGTCGAGTCACAGCACGGCGTCTGGAGGAATGCTGCGGTCGCCCGAAGAGTTACAAAAATCGTGTTTCCAGTTGCTATGCATCGCCCCACGCCAAACCACATCCCCATGCATGGATTGCATTCCTTGTACCAGTTCTCGCCAGCGCACAGTCCGCTCACCACTGCTGCAGATGCCGATGTGGGTCCTTTATCCTTGCTAACCGAAGCGAAATTAATGCCTTCGGTCTACCAGTACGTGGGCATGAGTCGTCTAGGCCGAGCGAACACGCGGCACAGACAGTTCGTCTCGGACAAAATAGACGCTGAGATTATTTATTTGGGATACGAGAGCACCCTCATCCCACTTCACGCAACTATACCAGCAGTTGCGTTGCTTCGCGGTGCATGGACGGTCTTCAACCAGAACGACATTCTTCTCCTTCCCGCGGCTATGATCGCAGGTCCATCAATGAATGAAGAAAGCCCACGTTTGCATTAGGGCGTTTGTCCGACCTTGTTTCGAATATCTGAAAAGTTCCATTTGAGTGCCGTGAATGCTTAAAATGAAAGATAAAATATCTGGAGAGGTAGATGCCACGCCGCGCATGATCCTCGAGCAAAATCGATCAGACGAACTATCTTTCTGAGATGCGTGGGGCTGCTCGTCTCATACTGCACCGGCTGGCCAGCGGCGGTCCGTGAATCCCCGAAGTCTGATCGCTATCGGTTTACGCTTGTATGTGTCACTGCGATTGAGCTGTTCAACTTGAACTGAGTTCGCTTCTCATGCCGCACCCGCTTTTGAATAGATTGCAGCGAACAGATGGTGTTTATCAGTTCACTCTCAGGTGTCTACTAATTTAACTTCGTAATATCGTTTTGCCGCGTTTTGCCCGTGAATGCTGGAGATGAGCGGGGGTATTGCACGCCACGGAGCACGTATATGTCGGTGTAGTGTGCTGACGTCATGCTGGGGGGCACCACACTTCACTGAGCACGTGTGTGTCGGAGTAGTGTGCTGACGCCTCAGGCTGCCCACTTCAGGTGCACAGCACGAGCAAGAAACTGCTGTACCAGCTGGACCACATGGTGCAGCTGTGCTCGCACCTGCGCACCAACAGCGGCGGCGGCGTGCCAGCCGGTACCCCGGCCGCTGACTACTCGGGCGGCGCCTCCCACGTGCTCCGGTCAGTCAGCTACCACACGGCGCGGCACGGCACGGCACGACACAACACAACACAACACAACACAACACAACACAACACAACACGACACGACACGGCACAACACGGCACGGCACAACACGGCACGGCACGACACGGCACGGCACAGCACGGCACGGCGCATGACACAACACGGCACGGCACGGCATGACATGGCATGGCATGGCATGGCATGGTACGGCACGGCACGACACGACGCGACACGACACGACACGACACGACACGACACGACACGACACGACACGACACGACACGACACGCCCGACATGGCAGAGTGGAGCGGGGAGAATGATACACCTGGCCACCAACTCATTGTAGAACGACGCCGGGCTGGTGTTGGTGACACGGGGTGACACATGGACATCATGAACTGTCGGGGTCAGTCCTAGCCAATTCTAGGGTGCATTCGTAGCGCACAAAGCATGTTTTGTTCTGCGTGTCGTCACATAAAATCTTTGCCGGTTGTGTGCGCAGCGTGAGACGTTCTATGTCCATATCTTTATTACTCTCGTGACTCTTGCGCATGTTAGACACGGTCGATCGCGTCCTCACGTACTGCGCATGCGCTTCATAATGGTAACTGCAAATTATGCTGTTTGTAACGCATAATATAACTTTGCTCCACCCGTCGTCGGTCTGAGCGCCCACAATGACTCATTTCAAATGAACCTGTTGTGTCATTTCTGTCTCTCTTCATCTAAGCAACGGAAAAAGTTTCTCCCCATGTGGGAAAGATTTTCCGTAACGTCACGTAGAGCCTTTGCCGTACGCGTGGGATGTCCCTGCAAGCCTTTCTTTTGGTGGCCAATGCGAGGCCTCTTTTTCCCTGGAGTCTCTTTCGAGGGGGGGGGGGGGCGACAACTACTTCCAGCTTAAGGTCAGGCAAGGGTTAGGTTGAACCGGCTGTGCGGTCCGGTACAAGGCAAGGGAGAGGGTATTTTGAACTTAGGTTGCATTGATATGGCTTATTCTTTTCCAGCAAGATAGTAGCAAGTAAAGCGAGCCGTGGCAGCAGAGAGAGACAGCGAAAGAGAGAGAGAGAGAGAGAGAGGAGAGAGAGAGAGGAGAGAGAGAGATGGGAGGACGAGAGCGAGAGGAGAGAGGAGAGAAGAGAGGGAGAGGGGAGAGGGAGAGAGGAGAGGGGAGGAGAGGAGAGGGAGAGGGAGAGGGAGAGAGGGAGAGGGAGAGGGAGAGGGAGAGGGAGGGAGAGGAGAGGGAGAGAGGGAGGGAGAGGGAGAGGGAGAGGGAGAGGGAGAGGAGAGAGGGGAGAGAGGGAGGAGAGAGGGAGAGAGGGAGAGGGAGAGGGAGAGGGAGAGGGAGAGAGGGAGTGGGAGGGGAGAGGGAGGGAGAGAGGGAGAGGGAGAGAGAGGGAGAGAGAGGAGAGAGGAGAGAGAGGGAGAGGAGGGGAGGAGAGAGAGAGAGAGAGGAGAGGAGAGAGAGAGAGAGAGATATATATATAGATCTCTCTCTCTCTCTCACCTCCTCTTCTCTCTCTCTTCTCTCCGACTATATATATATATATTGCGCCACGAAGCAACATGCATTCAGTACGTTTGAACGACAAGTGAGCCTCCTCACCGGCCCCTCCGCCAGACCCCTCGGGTGCCGCGAGTCCTGCGTGTGGTGTCCGTGTCAGTGGTGGCCTTGGCTCAGCTGGCTTGTCGGCGACTTGTGCGATGGATGGATGCCGGGCCGCTCTATCGCAGCAACGGGAGATCAGTCCCGGGCTCCGCTGCCCGGCACGACCTTGTAGTACTGTTTGATGTGATTTAGTCCCGGAAAATGCTAACTAAAAAAACGGACTCCTGGCCAATGGGGAAAAGACTTGCAGTTTTTGTCGAAGTATGCGGGAACATATACGTCATTTAAATGAAATTGTCTACTCATGTTCTGTGTAAAAGTTCGAAGGGGAGAACAAGCAACTCAGAGTGCGCGTCACCGAGAAAAGAGTGGGGATTGAGTGGAAGCCGGTTAGCGCTGGTGTAATTGATGGGTTGTGGTCTTGTCGATCGTTGATATACCGGGCACACGAGGAGGACGTAATTTATTGTAAATGGGATGTCGCACCGATGACATAGCGGAGGAGTGCACTGGGGGAGGCAGTGGGGGATTTTGGTGTGACCGATGCGAAGTCTGGTAAGCAGTACTCCCTTGAGGCGGTCATATTGACGAATTGTCGGCCGTAATGATGTATGGTTTTCATTGGATGAAGGTGGCGATGAATGCGTCGATCACAATTAGATTGGGGAAACAAACGGAAATGCACATTGACGACTGCAGGAATATCGAAAACGAGACAGGGAAGATGAATACGTCCCGGTAACACAAGACTTCGTTTGCCTACTCGCTAGCGATGTTGTTTTCATGAAGATTTGCGTGTCCAGGTGTCCAGAGAAATATTACGTGGGTTTGTTGAGGAAGGGAGCAGGGTGTTCGGCGTATACCATTTATAATTGGGTGGAATGAAGCATGACATTATCGGTGTCCGCATGCGCAGTTATTGTGTGATAGTTACGAAGATGTAAACAGAAAACGTGTCGCACAATGAAAAGTCCGACAACTATTCGGCTTGAATTTACGAAGAACGAGATATATGTTTGATGCACTGCGAATATAACCCTAGTCTGTATTGGATCACAAGACGAAAAAATCCGAGGAAGTTCATTTCTGTTGTTGAATATTCTATTGGGTGCTTAAGCCGGCGATAGAGAAAAGAGACGTTTGCAGATGGCGTAATCCTCATTTTCCGGTCTTTGTAGTTAGTGGAAGCAGTCTACTGGATGTAAGCTGAAAATACCGTGAGCTCCTGGTTTTTCAGCATTATGAGCTCAGCGCTTTTTTGCTGACTGCTATCAACCTTCAATATACCGGAAGATACTGTCCGAACTACGTTACGAAGCAAACATTGGTTATATCGTCAATATTAGACTTTCGAGCTGTGTATTTTGGTAAGAACGCGGAAGTATTGTAGCTGGGGAGGCCATGTAAAAAGTCAAAAGCCGGCCCGAAGACGTGATCAAAGTGGGAAGAGCTGTTCGATGCGCGCCGTATGGTGTGTGTAGTTCTGTCAGTGCTTCAGAGAGCTACGGGTTTTCCTTTCGGTTTGTCATGTGCATGACAAAGTTATCACTCACTGTACCCTCTTCTTGGTCTTAGTTTGGGAAAATCATGCTTAAATCTCGTCATTTGCAATTGCAACTGCAATTTTTGCGAATATTCGTGAAAATTTCTAATGATATTAAACTCGCATTAAGGTAGAAAAACGGACGAATTTTGAAGCCACGTTGTGAGACGATTCAACAAAGTGAATGCTGGGATCCTCCAAGCACGACCTTATTTACAAAGTACGAGCAATAGGCATACATCAGTGCATGGCAGTGCTTTCAGGGTGTGTGTGGTCGGTGTAGAAACACTATGATGTATTATTATTATGAATGATTTGTTTAAAGAAGCATCTTTCGACCGAGCCATGTGGAAGTGCAGTATATTAGCGCAGTGTTGGGAAACTGGCTGCGTGGTGATGAGCGCTGAAGACAATGGATTGCATGGATTATCAGGTTGATGATCCTTTCGGTATAGTATTTATTTAATTTCTTTCACAATGCCTCCTCGCCGTCGAAATCCTCACGGATGCGCCAAACATGGCAAATTAACTCCCGTTATACTCCCAAATGCATCGCCGATATTTTAGCTTCGTTTTTCGATTGAACTGCTGTGCCCAAATTCGTTTCAGCAAGTGCCATGCAGTAGAGCTGATCTGTGCGTCTACCATTCTGAAATACGAATTTCTTGATTGACCAGAGCTTGGCATGTCCCACTCGCTGTCCACGTTGGGCTCTCGTACTGCAGGTGCGTGCATATGGGTCGCGCTGCACGGGGCGTGCAGGGTGAAGTGCTCGTTCTCGCTCAGAGCTCGTTGTACATTGGACCCGGACGGGTGGGCGGCTTCTCCGTATAACCGGTCGGCTTGCAGCCGGGCTCGGGGTCCATATGGCAGACGTAGGCGTTGCGCGCGCTGGCGGCCGGCTCGAAGGCCAGCTTGTTGTGCACGTTGACGCGCTTGACAGTCGGCTCGTGCTGGTGGCCCACCAGGAAGCGCTCGGGCGTGGTGGTGTTATCCCACATGAAGCGCGGCGAGTTGAACTGGGTGCGCAGCACCAACCAGTACCATCGCCCCAGCTCCATGACGTCACTCATCGTGCCGATCATGCCGCCGAAGTCGACCACCATGAGCCGGCTGCGTCTGGCCGGCGCCAGCTCGCCGCACGCGTGTGCCGCCTCGCGCAGGCCCAGCGGCCGCGTGTAGCTGCGGTAGCACCCGCCCTGGATCTGAGTCCAGTGCACCGGGCAGCCCGACACATACTCGTCGTACGTGATGAACGGCTGGTGGCGCGTGTGGTTGGTGAAGTGACCGCCGCTGCATTTGGCTACCTCGCAGTCGTTGTCGATCCGTGTCATGGCCAGTTGCCCGTCGACCACCAGCGTTTGGTTGACTTCGCAGCAGGTGGGGTCGCGCACGGGCTTCATCACGCCCGTGCTGTGGCACTTGAAGTGGAGGCAGGGGTCCCCCGTGTGGAACGTCTCTCCCTTCTCGAGGATGACGAGGCCGACGGCACACTCGATGCAGCCCGTCGTGCGCACCTCCCAGGCTACGGAGCCGGTGAAGCGGTTGTCCTCGCCATCACGCACACACACCTTCTTCGTGCACTTGCCCTGCATGACGGCACCCTCCTTGAACGCGAACTTCTCTTCGAAACAGCACTTGTAGACATCGTAGCTGAGCATCCAGGACGCGCCGTTGACGTCAATGTTGAACTCGCACTCGTAATACGTGCACTCGACGCCGAACATCAGGTACTTGGCGGCCAGGTTATGCATGGTGCCGTTGCGGTCGCGACACCGGAGCCGCTCGCGCTGGTAGCCTGAGAGGCCCGGATAGGCGTCGGGGTCCGGCGGAACGATCTCGCCCAGACTGGGGTCTGCGGAGAACAACACTTCCTTGCTGGGGATTCTCTCTTTGGTGTCGTCTCCAAGGACGGGCACGCGCGCGTCCATCCTGGCTACTGGCTTGTCGGTGGCGTCTGCACCGAACGGGAGGGTTGTAAGACACAGCAATGCCGCCACTACGTGGTCTCCTCGAATGCGTGCCATGCTTGCTGATCGTGTGCCCCGTTGAATTTAGTCTGCTATGATGCACCAGCGTGTTTAATGGAAAATGTATGCCAAGCTCGATACACCAAAAACTGGATATAATGCGACGGATGATGGTTGGGTAATGATGGAAGTCCACTGGTAATCATGGAACTGACAAGTTTTGCGATTAGAAGTTATATTGCGCAGCTCGTGAGTTAGCTCCGGTGGTGCCCTGTTTTATACAGAGATCATCGTCAGAAAAAAGTCTGGCACTGTAACGTATTAATTCGTCAAGGGCTAAGCAGACTCCAATAACGTTTGGCGTTAATCGATGCGTAGGAGTTTGATGTTTGGCTCAAAGCCGTCTGAGACGATGTTGTGGGCTTGCACGCATCATCCCATGTATTTGGTGCCTGTCGTTTTTGCGTTATGGCATTGGACTGATTGGTGAGGGGAAGCAATATTGCGGCTGGGTTTTGTTCGATGGCGCTCATGAATGCTACTGGCAGCTGTCCAGGGCATCGCTGTAATCGCGAGTGTGACTCGTTAATTTCTTGGAGGTTAGTTGTTTTGCAGTCGGCTGTATTGAATATCATTCAGTTCGACCGACAACATGCTTGCGAGATTGCTGTTTTATGATCACTTCTCTTCGTAATGTCAAGTCATGTGTGACCTTCGAAGTCTGCCGCTTGTTTCGGTGCCACGATTCTATGGACTGGCACGAGCCGGCCGGGCCACCGGCCTGTGCTACCACGCCGCTATCCACCGACGACAGCGCGATGATCTGACATGTCACCGTCCTCTTCCCCTAGCGTGATCCGGGAGATCCTGAACCACCACCGGGCCGTGGAGCAGCAGTGGCAGCTGCGCAAGACCCGGCTACACCAGCAGCTGGCGCTCAAGCTGTTCCAGGAGGACGTCAAACAGGTGCGCACCGACCAACCGGGCGCCACGCGGACATGGACGGTGCGGCCGTCGCCGTCGCGAGCCGGCACCGCAGCGCGGCTGCCCTGTTCCGCGCGGCGACTGCGGTCGACCTCCCCAGTATGCATGATGTGAATCTTGCCTGGTGCACCGGAGCGAGGCACTAGCAGTCTTGCCGTCGGCGCTGTGCTGTTGTTTGCGTGCTTTGGCCCGATTCGTACGTTGTGGCCGTCGTAACGGGGCGACGAACTTCGCCGCAGGTATTGGACTGGCTAGACACGCACGGTGACATGTTCCTGCGCAAAAACACCAGCCTGGGCCGGAACCTGGAGCGGGCGGCCGCCTACCGCCGCAGCCACGACCATTTCGTCAACGTAGCGCAAAACACATACACCAATGCCGAGAAGCTGCTGACGGCAGCTGATGAGCTGGCTAGGTGAGAAAGGCCACGGCTATGAAGGGAGCGGCTGCAGGTGAGAACGGCCACGGCTGTGGAGGCAGCGGCTGCAGGTGAGAACGGCCACGGCTGTGGAGGGAGCGGTTCCGGGTGAGAACGGCCACGGCTGTGCCCCGTTCGGGGGACGGGCGTAGTGTTCCGGTTCCGCAGGAGCCAAGATCTGAGATGCGCGACAAACGAAGGTTTCGTATCTCCCGCCATTCGTCGCAGCAGGTAAGTGTTCACAAGATGACTTGATCACCTCATGGAAGTGGTTGAGGTAGGTCCCAGTTGACTTGTTTGTGCTCGGTTTCCAGCAACATTGCTTAGTTTTCCCAACGACGAGAGAATATACCGGTATTAGTTTCCGTGACATACCGCAGGATTGGTGGGTGTAACGTCTGTGTGTGCCGCAGGACGAGCGAGTGTACTGCTGAGGAGGTGAACCGCGCGCTCGGGATGTGCAGCTGTGTGTGCGTCACAGGACGAGCGAGCGTAACGTTGAGGATGTGTACCGTGTGGTCGTGATGTGCCACTGTGTGTGCCGCAGGACGGGCGAATGTAACATCCAGGAGGTGTACCGCGTGGTCGTGATGTGCCGCTGGGTGTGTGCCACAGGATGAGCGAGTGTAACGTCGAGTATGTGTACCGCGTGGTCGTGATGTGCCGCTGTGTGTGCCGCAGGACGAGCGAGTGTACTGCTGAGGAGATGAACCGCGCGCTCGGGATGTGCAGCTGTGTGTGCGTCACAGGACGAGCGAGTGTAACGTTGAGGATGTGTACCGTGTGGTCGTGATGTGCCGCTGTGTGTGCCGCAGGACGGGCGAATGTAACATCCAGGAGGTGTGCCGCGTGGTCGTGATGTGCCGCTGTGTGTGCCGCAGGACGAGCGAGTGTACTGCTGAGGAGGTGAACCGCGCGCTCGGGATGTGCAGCTGTGTGTGCGTCACAGGACGAGCGAGTGTAACGTTGAGGATGCGTACCGTGTGGTCGTGATGTGCCGCTGTGTGTGCCGCAGGACGGGCGAATGTAACATCCAGGAGGTGTACCGCGTGGTCGTGATGTGCCGCTGTGTGTGCCGCAGGACGAGCGAGTGTACTGCTGAGGAGGTGAACCGCGCGCTCGGGATGTGCAGCTGTGTGTGCGTCACAGGACGAGCGAGTGTAACGTTGAGGATGTGTACCGTGTGGTCGTGATGTGCCGCTGTGTGTGCCGCAGGACGGGCGAATGTAACATCCAGGAGGTGTGCCGCGTGGTCGTGATGTGCCGCTGTGTGTGCCGCAGGACGAGCGAGTGTACTGCTGAGGAGGTGAACCGCGCGCTCGGGATGTGCAGCTGTGTGTGCGTCACAGGACGAGCGAGTGTAACGTTGAGGATGTGTACCGTGTGGTCGTGATGTGCCGCTGTGTGTGCCGCAGGACGGGCGAATGTAACATCCAGGAGGTGTACCGCGTGGTCGTGATGTGCCGCTGTGTGTGCCGCAGGACGAGCGAGTGTACTGCTGAGGAGGTGAACCGCGCGCTCGGGATGTGCAGCTGTGTGTGCGTCACAGGACGAGCGAGTGTAACGTTGAGGATGTGTACCGTGTGGTCGTGATGTGCCGCTGTGTGTGCCGCAGGACGGGCGAATGTAACATCCAGGAGGTGTGCCGCGTGGTCGTGATGTGCCGCTGTGTGCGCCGCAGGACGAGCGAGTGTAACGTTGAGGAGGTGTACCGCGTGGTCGTGATGTGCCGCTGTGTGTGCCACAGGACGGGTGAGTGTAACGCCGAGGAGGTGTACCGCGTTGCGGCCGAGCTGGATGAGCGGATTGCCGCCTTTGTGGAGCGCGTAGAGAAGCGGCGCCGTCTGCTGGAGCTGACTGTTACATTCTACACGCATTTCCAGGAGGTGGGTGTCGGAGCCCCTGATCGGGCTTACCGGTTTCTGGTCTACGTTACCAGCTCAGTTTGTTAGGTTTTGTTGTAATTCACTTTACCTCGTAAGTGGGTTGCCTTCCCCTTTTCCACTTTTTTTAGTTGTTTCAGTTCTCACTCGAAGGTAAAATGTGCTGTGATATTGATGCAAAATTGTAATTTAAGCAAGGTGAATAACGTATTTCTTCCTGGAGTTGCTGCGTGCGATAGGGACTCGCTCACTGTATGTTTCCTGTATTTGTGGTCCTTGAAAACCGCCGCGGGCAAGTTCATTCTCGCACTTCCCCGCTGATAACATTATCCCGGAAACGCGTCGGCGAATCGCTATTGCGAGTCTAATGTGAGATCGTTTAGACGGCGGTGTGGGGCGCCCTTGTCGCACCTGACGGGCTTGGTCCGCCCGCTAGCCGGCCGTTTAGCGTGGCGTGCGGCGCCACTGAGCCGCTGTGTCCTGGTCGGCAGCTGACCGCCTGGTACGAGGAGGTACACACCACGGTCTCGAGCGGTGAGGTGGGCGAGAACGTGCAGGGCTGCCAGCATCTGCTGGAGGAGCTGGCGCAGCGGCGCGAGTCCTTCACCAAGGCCACCAACAGCACCATCGCCGAGGGCGAGGCGCTGATCGCCGACCTCAGGTGGGTGCGCCGCCCGTCACGGTCGCAGGCACGGTCGGACGGCCCCGTCCCAGCTGATAGCTGCCGGGTGCGTGTGTGCTCTGCCGCTGAATGTCGTTACCTCTTGTGTCGCCTGCTTGAACTGGTCAGGGGACTGGGTCAGGGTCGGTATAAACTGCGCGCTGTTGGCCTCCTCTTCCCTGACGGCCAGGCAGATGGTCGGCGCGCACGCACGCCACACTGCGCTGTCGTCGCTGGCTGTCGTCACGGCGCCGGCCCGTGTGCGGTCGACGTTCGCCTGACGGTCGCGCTCGACCGGCAGGGCGCAGGGCATCTCGAGCGAGACGGACCCGACCGGCTCCTACTCCGGCATTGAGTCGGTGCTGGCCGACCTCACGCAGCGGCGCGACGACATGGCCGAGCTCTGGGCTGCGCGCAAGCTGCGGCTTGATCTCTCCATGCGGCTGCGCATGTTCGAGAGCAACGTGATGGAGGTGCGCGGGGGGCGGGAGCGCGCGGCGCACCGGGCCGGCGACACAATGGTTTGTCACGAGTGTTTGATGGCCCTTGTGTGATTGCAGTCTATAGACAATGGAGAAAGTCGTGCAGTGACGGCGCCAAGCAGCTGCGCAGTAAAAGGATCCATGTGTATTCCAATGGCCTGTCCCGTCAGAGAAAAAAAAAACAGACGTTCGCAGGGCCTCAGTCGCCACCTGCCTGCACCATCATTGCGCGCAGAGGGCATGGAGACAAGGGGCCATGCGTGCGGAGCTTACGGTGCTGTGCGCGTGTCCAGGTGTCGGTACAGATGGAGCAGTGGGCAGAGGAGTACCGACGTCTGGACCTGCCGCGGGATATGGCCACCGCCGAGCTGATGCTGAACAAGCACAACGATCTGGTGCAGCAGGTGCTGGACACCATGTTTGAGCTGGTGCAGGAGGGCCAGCAGACCAGCCAGGTAAGCGCCCAGGAGTCGACCTTGTCTCGCCAGCGCCATCCAAATGTATCGACTGATTGGTGGTGTATGCTTTTCTCGTTTCTGTGGCTGAACTCGGGCTCACATGAACTGTCATGGTTGGCAGATTTTGCGCTGAGCCAGGAGGACTGTTTGGCGGACTGTGGGCCATGGCCTGTGTTACGTGCTCCCCGTCATGTACAAAATGTGCACCGTGAACCGTGTAGAATTGTTTGACTTCCGTATGTTGTTTTTATCATAATTCGTTGTTATACCGTGATCATTGGTTGACCGTGACGAGCGTGTCGACCTCATAAACGGGGGATCAACGAACAGCAGTGCCAGTGCACTACAGGGATACTTATCCTTATAGGCCTATTTTTGATCTGCAGTGAGTCCTGTTTGTCACTACATATAACGTACTTGTAGACAGTGTATGCGGCATAAAACGTACAAGACTGAACGGCTCCTTACGACCAAGGGATTTCGCCTGCGCTAGGAGGATTTGAACGATTAAGTCTGGGCTAAAGGGTCATTTCTATTGCCTGCTGTATGGATCGTCGAGTTTGTGACTATTGCGTCCCCGTATTGATTCTAGCATGTTTTTCCAGGTAGCCGTTTTGGGGCCGCTCAGGAGGCAAGCTCCGAATGTTGTCTGTAGCAAATTGTGCCGTGTAGCTGTGTCTCAGTTTGTCGGTGTGATCCTGTTATTGCCCGTGATTCTTGCCGGGCCGGAGCCGCGTGACTGACACGCCGGCCTGCCCGGGACCCCTGCAGCTGCTGGAGCAGTCCAGTATCCAGTTCATGACGGACACGTCGACCACGGCGTCAGAGCGCTGCGCGATGCTGCTGGAGTACGTCAGCGACCGGCAGTCGGAGCTGGACCTGCTGGCCGAGCGGCGCCGGCTGCGGCTAGAGCAACGCGTCCAGTTGGGCCAGCTGGAGGCCGAGGCCAGCCAGGTGGGGCGGCCTGCCGCTGCGGCTGCCGCCCGCCGTCGGGGTGGCCGCTCGGCTGACTTCGGGCAGCCCGGACGATGGGTGTCGTCACCAGTCATGCTTGCAGTACGGGTGCACGGTCTGCGCCCGTGCTGAGTCAGTTAGCTAGCACGTGTCCAATGCAGGTGCATAGTCTGATCCGGCCGCTTCATCTATCGGGGCTGAGTCTCATCCCCGGGGCCGTGCCGCCGTCCCCGGGTCCGTGCCGTTGTCCTCGTGGTCGCGCCGCCATCCCCCGGGGCCACGCCGCCGTCCCCGGGTCCGTGCCGTTGTCCTCGTGGTCGCGCCGCCATCTCCAGGGCCACGCCGCCGTCCCCGGGTCCGTGCCGTTGTCCTCGTGGTCGCGCCGCCATCTCCAGGGCCACGCCGCCATCCCCAGGGCCACGCCGCTGTCCCCGGGTCCGTGCCGTTGTCCTCGTGGTCGCGCCGCCGTCCCCACTGCCACACCGCCGTCCCCAGGGCCACGCCGCCGTCCCTGGGGCCGTGCCGTTGTCCTCGTGGTCGCGCCGCCGTCCCCAGGGCCACGCCGCCGTCCCCGGGGCCGTGTCGTTGTCCTCGTGGTCGCGCCGACGTCCCCAGGGCCACGCCGCCGGCTCGGCCCGTGCTTACCAGCGCCCGAGCGCGGCGTGCCACGCTGACCGGGCCCACGCGTGCCGCCACAGGTGATGACCTGGATCAGGAATGGCGAGTCGATGCTGGCTGCCAGTTTCAGCGTACCCGCCTCGCTGGCCGAGGCCGAACAGTTCAAGCTGGATCACGAGCAGCTGCAGCGAGCCGTCGAGGTAAGCCCCCCCCCCCCTTTCCCGTATATGTACCTCCCTCAGTGTCTCGGTCGTGATGCCTAATGCGCCACTTGGACGTGGCAGTATGTGCTGCGGGTGCGCAGTGGTTCCGGAGATGGCTGCACGTGGGAGAGGGCGAGCCATATGTGGTAATAGGCTTGTTCTTTGAAGTGTTATTGAACTTTCCAGTCGTCCATTATGTGAGATGTTTGTTTGTGTTTGTTTTCTGGCTAGTCCTTCCCGGCTGGGCGGTGCGTAGCCCCTGCTGCGATTCACGCTCCGCGCCAGGTGATCGCCGCCATTTCCGTTTGTCGGGTGCCGGTAGTGTAGTGGTTAACACTTCTGCGTTAACCGCTGCGCGTCTGGGAAAGTAGAGGTACGGGGTTCGATTCCCCACGGTGTCCGCCCTTCCTGCCAGGGTGAGAGGTAGGCGACGCCATATAGCCTCAGTAGCTGGATGCGTCGTAAAGCCCCAATAACAACTCCCGTCAGTCGTTGTACTAACCTGCCTCTTAAGCTGCCTTAAGCCTGACCCCCCCCCCCCCCCCTCCTTCACCTCTTGTGTCCGTCTGATGACCCGTCCGCTCGCAGCGGACCCACACGTCGGCGGTGCAAGCGTGGCAGCGGGCGGAGAGCCTGATCAACACTAATCACTACCAGCCGGACGCCATCCGCACCATCGCCGAAAACATCACCAAACGCTGGCAGCAGCTGGTCACCTGCGCCGAGGACCGTCACAAGCTGGTCACCAGCAGCCTCAGCTTCTTCAAGACGGCCGAGGAGGTAGGCGTCCTTGGCCTGGGCGACCCCTCATCATTTTGTTTTGTGCGTTAGCGTTGTTTGATGAGAATAACAACAGTCAAGTCCAACACAATCAACGCCGATCTCGAGGTGCCAAGGAAGCCTTCGCTGTCGTAATGTCTGGTCGATCGACCAGAAAAAACTGTTGCGTTGCCTGCGACAGGAACGTCGCAAGCAAAAGTGCTCGCACGCCCCGCGGAGGTGTGATTGTCTCAACAGGGCAGAGCGGCCCATTCTGTCAGCGACTGCCGACCGTCGGACCTGGTCGACCAGTGCCTGGCAGTGTGTGCTTTGGCCGGCCGGCAGGTGTGCACGGTGCTGGAGGAGCTGGAGCGCGAGTACCGGCGCGACGAGGACTGGTGCACCATGGACAAGTCAGCCAGCATGGCCGACAAGGCCGTCCGCATTGCCAGCCTCATCCAGAAACACCAGGACCAGAAGGTAGGCGGATGGACGGTGCTGGCCGCTGCTGTTGGTGATGCCGCGCCTCAGCCGTGCTGCGCAGGCCGGTCGGTCGTGCCTCCGCCCTCAGCAGGTAGGGCCACGCGGTCAGCATCGCTGCAGCTGCTGCGGTGTGAGACGCTTTCTGGTCAGCTGCAGGTGCCCACAGAGCGTCGCTGCCCCTGCGCGTCTGTGATTGTGTGTGTGTGTGTGTGCGTGTGTGTGTGTGTGTGTGTGTGTGTGTGTGTGTGTGTGTGTGTGTGTGTGTGTGTGTGTGTGTGTGTGTGTGCGTGCGTGCGTGCGTGCGTGCGCGTGCGTGCGTGCGTGCGTGCGTGTGCGTGCGTGCGTGTGGGTGCGTGCGTGCGTGCGTGCGCGCGCGCGAATGTACCGGTCACTGTCGTGTGCCTCCATTGTGCATTGGCGGCCTCTAACCTAGCTACGAATAGCGCATGCTGATACTCAGCATCGGTGGAGCGAGTGAGCGAGTCCCACCGAGGCTGGTCACAACGCCGTCCGGGCCGCCCCCTCTGACCGGCGCCTCACCACGCCCCACCCGGCAGGTGGTTTTCCTGAAGGCGTGTACGCACGCGCGTCGCACCGGCGGCTCGGTGCTCAAGTACGCCACGCGCAGCATACAGTACTACAGTCAGAAGCTGAAGCCGGGCGTGCGGGGCTCGGAGGAGAAGGTCAAAGGTCAGTGCCGCCGGCAGCGGAGCACCGACGCAGCGCCGGAGTAGCGGACGGAACGCTGTGATTGTTACTGACTGCACGGTTGCCTGGGCAACCGCGACACCCTCTGATCCGCTGCGGTCTTTTGGGTGCGTTGGTGCCTCCACGCATATCTTTATTTTTCGTGCACTGGTGCCTTTGGTTACGATTTATTCCTTTTCCAAAGCCCAGTTGATCAGAACGTATGCCACTCGATTCGCCCACTTGTGGCGGGGTGGATTCGAGCCGCTTTAGGCCCTCGCTATTTGCGCGTGACTGGGATGGTGTGCGGCCGGTGGCAGTGGCAGCGCTAAAGGCCAGGTGACGACGAGGGTATGGCGGGCCGGGCTGGGCGTTGCAGCACGTTGAGCTTTCGCCGAAAACTTTTACGGTCGACCCGGACTTAACAATTGACCGCACTGTGGTGGTGGGATTAGAGCTCAACTGATAAACACTTGAACACCTGAGATTATCAAAAATGCTTGCAATTAAAATATTCAGATTCAGTCTTAGACATCATGTAAACCGCAACTGAACGATCATGGAATTGCTGCGCGCTAGACCTGTGAGCGAGGTGAACCTGCAGATTTCCCATGTTCGTTGCAAGCATACCCTGACGTCCGAGCCAAAGACCCCTCTACCTGCATGGACCCAAACCTGTCCCCCCCCCCCCCCCCGACGGCGGTGCGCACAGCGGTAGGACAGCTGTCCTTAGTGTACCGAGTGGCCTGACCTATGAACAAGTTGCCGGTGGATGCTAGACGGCTGGATCCGACAGGTTTTAAGCGCAGCGCCAAGTCACTTTGTGCAATATGGTTATCTTGTGCTGTTTATGTATGCATGCGTTTGTTTTTTGTTTTATCCCTTATCACTTTCGTTGTTTTTTGGCGTATTGTTGCATCTCCCAGACTAATGATACGTTATAGTCACGTATTTATGTGGAGTGTCAGCTGATGTTAAATGCAATGGCTTCGCGGACTCACTTACGTCAGGGCGTCTGAAAGCCTGGCGTCGTGGGCGAATTATACATGGTTTACATTGTTACAGCATGAGTGCGTGGGGTGTGTTTTTGTGTCATTTCGTGGCGTGCATGGGAGTTATCACATTCTGGAGTGGGAACGGTCAGACGGGAGCCGATCCTCTCGGTGCTAATTAGTCGGTGAGATGATGGTAATCCTGACGTTCAATCTCCGCTGTTTCTGTGCGCAGAAATGCTGGAGAACCTGCTGTGTCTGGAGAACCGCGTCATGGACTTCTGGAACGTGCGGAAGCGGCGGCTGGACTGGTGTCAGCAGTACGTGCTGGTGGAGAGGTCGGCGCGCCAGGCACTCGACTGGATCAAGGACACGGGTCAGTCGCTGCTGGGCGTACATCGCCGCAGTCTGGGTCAGGGCCTCACAAGCCGGCCATGCATACTCACGGCAGGGGTCTGCATGCATATCCCGCTCGATCGCATCGCATGCTGTGTTGGAGACGGTTCTGTGGAAAACTGACTCGAAAAGTATGTGACGCAAACGACGCGTGGAGTCGAAAAAGACGAATTTGCGCAACCGTTCTTAAACATGTGGGTCGGTAGTTGCGCGTTACGGGTCTTGGTTGGCCGCTGCTTTTCACCGACTGCACAGTCATACAGTCCCTGGTCAGCGCGGCGCGGCGGGTTCTGCGCGGTGGAGGAGCGCAGTCCTGTGCCGTCTTCAGTCGTGTCCCCAGGCGTGTGCCGTGAGTCTCCAAGGCTGGTGCCTGTTGCAGGTGATCACTATCTGTCCACGCACACCGCTGTGGGAGACAGCATAGAGGAGACTGAAAAACTGCTGCTCGAACACACTGAGTTCAAGTCGACTGCAAAGGTCAGTTTGTATTGGTGTATGTCATGTGTGATGCGTATTACCAGCATCCTTCAAATGTCATGTGGGATACGCATTACCAACATTCTTCAAATGTGATGTGTTGTGCGTGTTACCAACATTCTTCAAATGTGAGTGATGCGTATTACCAACATCGTTTAAAAGTGTTTATGTTCTGGTCTGGTGTCATTGGCTCATAGTGAGCGTGATGCAGTATGCGCGCTGACAAGGCGATGTCAACGGTGCTGCGCCTTTTGCATTGTAATGGACGGAGAGAGTAAGCGAAGGTTGCCCCTCGCTTGCGGGCTTCGGTGTAAAGCACTCTGGCACCGCTGACCGTACTCCGCGGCGTCGCCTCGCCCCGCCAGGAAACGAGGGATCGTGTCAAGCTGCTCATCCAGCTGGCGGACAACATCATGGAGAAGGGCCACGCGCACGCCGCCCAAATCAAACAGTGGGTGGCCACCCTGGACATGGCCTACAAGGACTTCTCGCACCGCATGGACATGTACAGGTGAGCACCAGCGATGCCGCACAACTCCCTGCTATAGTCCGTCTGCAGATGGTTGGCCTGGGTGTCAACGCAACGTCCGAGGGGAATGCAGCGGGGTGTCGCTGTGCCGGCCGTCTCGCGGCGCACCCGGCCGCACTAACAGCTCGTTCTCGGCGTGTCGGCCAGGCGGCAGCTGGAGGTGCAGCTGGGCCTGCAGGCAGCGGGCGGCCGACGGCCCAAGCCCGAGCCGGGCCCCGAGCCGGAGGAGGCCGAGACCGTCTCTCGCGACCGCCTCTCCGACCCCAGCCTCGAGGCCAAGGTCAACGACCTGCAGCTCAAGGAGCCCGAGTGCAAGCTGGACGAGGAGAAGCGTCGCTCGGCGCGGCGCCGCGAGTGAGTGTCGTTCCGTTGCGGACGGCCGCGGCGGTAGGATGCAGTTCTGGGGCGGAGAGCGTCACGTGCTGTGACAACGGGGCCGCCTAACGCTATACGTCCCGTGCGTAAAAGCCATTGGTAGCGATGGTGCGTGCTAGTGGTGGTAGTGATGACGGCTGCCGTCGTTGAGCGCGGACGCAGCCGGTCGGTGCGTGACGGGTGACGTGCTCACGTGCCGATGTCGCCGTTCGCGGCCCCAGCCTCGGAAAAGTGGCCATCAACGTGCAGATAGCGTAAGACCGGGTGTTTTCCGCCCCGCGCGCCATGCAAACGACACCGGATGGTCGTAGCTGTCGGGTGCACGAGCCGGCTCGGGCTGGACTAGCCGTGCCCGGACGGCCGTGCCGGGGTGTGCCGCAGCAGGCTCCGTCGTGCTGGCACTGCTCGTGGACATGCGTGCCGCGTGAGCGGCCGGCGGCGGCGCTACGGCGTCGTCTCCGGCGGGCCGTGTGGCGCGCGGCGACACCGTCGCACCGAGCGACACCCCGCTTGTGCCGCCAGCTTCATCATGAGCGAGCTGCTGGCGACGGAGCGGGCCTATGTCAAGGACCTGGAGATCTGCGTGGACACCTTCCTGGGGGAGGCGCGCACCAACAGGAAGGTGCCAATCGGTGGGTGCCCCGACCGTTGGCGCGTTGTGTGCCTGCCCGACCAGAGGAAAGTAGTGTGCCTTTTGTAGGGTTCGAACAGAAACGGAAGGATGGCAGACTGGGTGGTGAAACCACTTGTCCTGAGGTTTTGCTTTTTTTTGTCTGACTAAATCTGTCCTTGCTAGGTGCAGATTTAGGTAATGATCTTTGTGACTCTGAGCAAAGTAGAGCAAAGTCACAGATTCAGTGCCGCATTACGTCAATGCTGTCTTTCCGTGGCCTGCCGATCACGTCTGGCAGAACCCGATGGCGAAAATGTGCGCGACCTCGCACTGTGACCGTACTGCGCGGCCGTGAGAGAATCGACGCCCCGTGCTTGCTACGTCATGCAGTTAATTTTGCTAATGGAAGCCTTTACTTCAATTGGATAATTTCGGCACCCGAGGGAGAACAGAGACCCGAAGCATTACGAGTACTTTCTCCCCAGCCGTTTTCAGTGTTTTGTTGTAAGGGAGCCTTTGTGAACCTTTCTGCTTTATCTTTGGCGGCTGGGGGCTTTCTACGGGAGTGTGACGTTGGTTCGGCCTGTTTTCGCGACGGTCTCGGGTGTGCTCTGGTGGTGCAACACGTCGGACATTTGCTGCAATTGTATAGCTGTTTGAAATTCATTAGATATTTTCTACTGTGTCCAATTTGGTGTTAATTGCATCGATGCATTATCCCGATATTTATTTTCAGGTCAAGCTAAGATTTCTTGAGGCCATCCTATGACGGTACTCCATAAATTCCGTCCATGGCCATGTGATCTCATCGTCTCCTTGAACTCATGTGAATGCTATTAGTAGCAAGGAAGAAGTCCCGTGAGATGCTGTTAGGCGTATGGACAATGCAGAATCGATATGGCCTTTTATTGGCCTCATGATCAGCGTAGATGGTTTGTAGTTGACGCGCCCTTGGACTTCAGCTCATTGGCAGCGCGGTGTACCCGGTTGCAACGGCTGTAAATTCCTGACCAAAATTATGCGGCTAACTTTGTTAGTGCTTGCATGATATATTTTCAATGATGCCACATTTTATCAATTCCTTTTTCGTCAGCCTTCATCAAAGCGACTTATGTGTTCAAATCTTATGATTAATTTCAGACAGGACAATTTTCGCACGAAGATTTTCATCCAGGAACCGGGAAAAGAAGTTGTTACGTTTCTTTTCTTCAAAACTCTCCAAGCCAACTTCCATTGATGAGCGTCCCAAAGATCTGAAACTCTCCGGCGTAATTGGCATGGGTACATTTTGGCCTGCGATAACGACTCGTCGCGCCGTGGGAGTCTGTCACTGGCGCCGGTGTCCAGCGGCGAGCGGCCCTGATGACCCCTCGCGCCATGGAGGCCTGTCACTGGCGCCGGTGTCCGGCGGCGAGGGGCCCTGATGACCCCTCGCGCCGTGGAGGCCTGTCACTGGCGCCGGTGTCCGGCGGCGAACGGCCCTGATAACGTGAGCGGTTGGCGGTGCCTTTTTAACCTGACAGTTATCGTTAGTGCTGATAACGAGAAGGACCTTGCTGTGGTGCAGGCATCCGCGACAAGACGGACGTGATATTCAGCAACATGGAGGAGGTGCTGGAGTTCCACCGCAACACGTTCCTGCAGCAGCTGGAGAAGTACACAAGCAATCCGGAGGATGTTGGCCACTGCTTTGTCACCTGGGTAAGTCACTGGAACTTCGCTCATCCAGTGGCCAACGGGAGTTAACAGGGAGTAAATTTTGTGTGGTCGTAATTGGTCTCCGTGTAAATGTCCACAGTTTGTCATAGTTTGGTCACACAGTTTTTTCCAGTCCACAGTTTGTCACAGTTAGTCACGAGCTTTTGTCACGCTGTGCTTTTAAACACAGTGTAACAACCGTAGGTTCTTGCCGGGCACTGCTTACGTTACCTCGCCGGAACTATGTAACGAAACCAGACCTTGGTTTGAACCCTCGTTGAAATGGCGTTAATGAGCAGCGTAATATTGTTGCTATCTTTCTTGCGGACGTCTCCAATATCCATAAGCGGCCTGCATACTGTGAAGTTGATAACGTCAGATGTTAATGGTGAACTGCGGCATGTCCGCCTCGATATGTTGCATTAAATATGTTGCAGGTAGCGCAGTTGGCGTCCATTCAATTAAGTTTTGATCTCACTTTATTTGATCGGAGTATCTGAAAAATGACGTACAAATTTTATGATGCGCATATCAGGCACATGGCTATGCGTTCGATTTGATTATCATTTAATAACAGTCAGCCATCACGTACCAATAAAAAACGTGATCGATAGACGTGAAAATGTGTCTGTTGCGCGTATTTAATAGCTTCCTCGCTAGAGTGTGCGGCCGCAGTTTGGCGCCCACTCGCCCGGGCCTGGATCGAGCCGAGGCCTCTGGCGAACGAGTGTCGATTGAACACCTGACGTCCTATCGACCGCCGGCGTCGACACGGCCATCCGCGCTCGCGGGCGGGCGCGACCCACACCCGCGCAGTGCCGGCCGGGGAGCCGAGACCCCTGAGGCCACGACCCGGCGGGCCAGCCGCCGTCCACGGGCCGGACGGTCGGCCGGTGCCAAGCGACGCCGTCCTTTGCTGTGCGGCCCGGCGCCGGCGACTGGCGTTCGGCCGTGCCACTGGCGGCCCGGTGTGTGCTAGTCTGACCTGGACTAGGCCACAGCGGCCGCCCGGCTGTGCTGTGTCGGGCGTTGATTGCCCCCGCCGGTATCGCGTGGGAGTGCTCGGCATCCGGCCGGCCGTGGGATGGCGCCTGGCGCTCGGCCGCCCTCGGCTCCGCCGGGCGGGTCTGGCCGGTGCCGGAGGCAGCTGGCGCCGCTCCGCCAGGCCGACGGTGTCAGAGCCGGCTCGGAGCGTGACCTGATCGGGCTCGCCCGCTGTCGCCGCCGTCACCGTCGCCTGCGCGCCCAATTGATTGTGTAGCTGTTGTTTCTTGGCGTTGCCCTGTGCCGTCACTTTCATCCCAGCCTGCCCAGAGACGTGGGTGCATGACGCTTTGTCGAAATTTTGGGCATGCTATATTAAATCAACAGCATTGATGGTGGAGGCCCCTGTCAAAGGCTTTGACGTAAAAAGCTCCGTCGGAAGGCTCTGTGTGGATCTCCGTCCTGGACATCGGTGCGAGAGCCTTTGTCAAGAGCCGCGATGTGTGACAAAGCCTTCGCCGTAAATAGCTCCGTGAGAAGTTTACATTTGACGGTCGGTTGTAAGATAATGCAGATTTTTAAGAACGCTTTGGCTGCTGCGGCTACTTGACGCTGTGTTGATGTACCGTCGTCGCCATGGCGCTCGGTCCAAGATGCGCATGACGTTGCGTCATAAGTCGAGACGTGTCAGGCTCCACCAGACATCGATGCGACGACGTGCATTTGTGGTCGTCAGAAGTTGTTGTGCGGACGGCGACGGCTTACGTTATGCCTTGCCGGCGCCTGGGATTTCAGCTCGATCTCGCAGGATTCGGGTCCATTTGGAGCCATTGACGGGTGTGGTGGTATGAGCGAGAGCGTTGGCCCTTTCCGCCCGGTGTCTGGGACCGGCAGGCGTCACGTGATGCCTTCTGACCGGAGTCTGGGACCGGCAGGCGTCACGTGATGCCTTCTGACCGGAGTCTGGGACCGGCAGGCGTCACGTGATGCCTTCTGACCGGAGTCTGGGACCGGCAGGCGTCACGTGATGCCTTCTGACCGGAGTCTGGGACCAGCAGGCGTCACGTGATGCCTTCTGACCGGAGTCTGGGACCGGCAGGCGTCACGTGATGCCTTCTGACCGGAGTCTGGGACCGGCAGGCGTCACGTGATGCCTTCTGACCGGAGTCTGCGTGTTCCGGCGCAGACGAGAAGTGGTCGTTCTCTCGATGAAGGGTATTGGGTACCATCGCCTCCCCACTTGGTGGGCTACAGGCTGCGTGTAATATTCTGAAAAGTTGGACACCTGCTAATGAAGTTGCGCATCGGCTCCCAAAGTTGGTATGAACTCACCTCATTATTTATTCGCACGCTTCCTCTCTCAACTCGTCATCGGCCGGTTGTCAAATCGCCCGTCCCCCGTCCAATATTTACGATAATTCAAAAGCGCCTTGAGATGTCGCTGCGAAATTTTTAGTAGCTGTCATTTGATGAATTATATGCTTTGTGCCAAAATAGCAAGCATGGGCCCGTGGCAGATGAAGCGTAACAGACGTTAGAGTGGCTTCATATTTGCTGATTTTAGTGTGAGTCAATTTGTCCATAATTCATGGGCCTTGTTGTGTTGCTTTATATATTGCGTATTGAGCTAGTGGCATGTCAAGGAACAAGAGTGTTGATAAAAAGTACATAGCATTTTTTGGCTTCAGACTCAAAATTGTGAAGCGATGAAAGAAGTTGTTCTATATACGACTATGAAGGATGCCTGTACCAAGTTCCAAGCAACTATCCGGAACAATGACTGAATCATGGCTTGAAATGCATCGTAGCGCATGTTGCCCATGCCCTGGTGGGCCCGGGCCCGGGCCCGGGCCCGCGGCGGCGGGCGGCTGGCCTCAGGTCTGCTGCAGCTGCGGGCGGTGGGTTTAGGTCTGCTGCAGCGGCGGGCGGCGGGCCTCAGGTCTGTTGCGGCGGCGGGCGGCGGGGCAGCGGAAGCCGTTTATCAGTTTGACACGCAAACGTACAACCACGTGACTGGGGGGGGGGGGGGGAGGCGGGGGGAGGGATATCAGGTTGCGCAGTCGGCAGGACTGAACCATTTAAAACAACGCGAAAATCGATCCATCCGCTTATTCACCATCGTGATCATCTTTTTGACACTGACCTTGACGTTTTGTGAGCAAATGACATATGTCACTAAGCGTGAGCTCTCTTAATCACGTGTGTACTTTTAATCCCCCCCCCCCCCCCCCACATAGTCTCTGTCGTTCTGACTCCACATTTTCCTGTTACAGTCGCAAAAATTCGACATGTACGTGCAGTACTGTCGTGACAAGCCGAACAGCAACGCGCTGCTGGTGCAGCACGCCGGCACGTTCTTCGAGGAGGTGCAGCGGCTGCACGGCGTCGAGCACCCCATCGCCGCCTACCTGATCAAGCCCGTGCAGCGCATCACCAAGTATCAGCTGCTGCTCAAGGACCTGCTGTCCTGCTGCGACGGACACGGAGAGATAAAGGTGGGTGCGGGCGCCCCGCCTGGCGGCGACGCTGCTGCCGTGGCCGGCGCCAGCGGCCCTTTGTCGGACAGCCAGCGGGTGCGTCGGGTCGTGGGGAGCTCCCGGCTGCGGGGGAGGTCAGGCCGCGGCCGACTCCCGGCTGTGGAAGGCGGGGACGTCAGGCCGTGGAGGACTTCTGGCTGCGGGGAGGCGGGTAACTTCCGGCTGTGGGGGAGGCGGGGAACACCAGGTCGCAGAGACTTCGCAGTCGTCTTGCGGCGGCGGACACGGGACATTGGAGGACGGTCGGAAGGACCGGGGGAGGGGGGATGACTGCGGCATGGCGGCATTCCTCAGATGCAGCATGTATCTGGCACAGACCTCAGCTGCGGTCGCCTGGCGGGGACCGTGTGAGTCCTGGTCATGGGGCGACCTTGCCCTTAAGGTCCGCTTGGTCGGCGTACGCGTCAGCTCACCGGGCGTTGGGAAGGCTCGGTTCTGGAGCCGACCGCCGTCTTTGTGAGCCGGGCTGGCTTGAACGCTTGGACTTGAATGCGGCTGTCGGCTGTTGGCGGCGGGACAGCCGTGGCGAACGAGCAGGCCCTGCGTGCCGCCCCGTGCTCACTGCTGGTGGTCGACCGATGTGCGAGCAAAGTCACTGATGGGCGTTCTTCTGTGGCACATGTTGGCCTGAGTTGCGTCTTTTCAACGTCTCATGCGGCCAAGCGGCTGCGGAGGCACGGTTACAACGCCAGCCGCGCCGCGCCGCCAGGCCGGTGACGGAGCCCGAGGCCACGTCCGACTTACAGGTACAAGGGATCTACGAAATAACACTGGGATCACTGTTAAGAAAATCAGGCCCCTGGACAAAACGGAGCAAGGCAGTTTGTTTATTATTGGGCCCGCTGTCCGACACATTACTGTTCCATTGTCCCTATCAATGCGGACCCTTTTATTGCCCTATTTCCCATCTCCCTTTATTGTCACGGGCCCCGAACAATGGAAGAGGCTCGCTGACATTCCAGGTCCCGTCACTGCCCCTTTCTAGCAAACGGGCCCGTTGCCGACTGGGATTCCTTCCCTGACACGGGATCCCTTGTCAGGCACTGTAGCCCGATCATAAGACACAGTGACTCTTTGTCATCTGTGCTTAGCAAGCCTCCGCGCCCACTTGCCATTAGTTCGTACCAACAGCAGGGGCGCAACCAATATTTTCTTAGCAAGGGGGGGGGGGCAGACCTCGGTGAGAACGCATCCCGCCAATTTTTAAGTTACTTTTCGGAGCGCTTTGGTAAAAATGAAGACCTTTGGACCGAATGGGGCGCCCATTGACTGTGCCCCTGCATAAAAATCAAACAGCAGCGACAGCAGGGTTTAAAGGCTACGACCTTGCAGGCAGTGGTCGGTTTGTTCCATTTGTGAGGGCCCTCGTGTGACACCCGTCCACCATATTTGGTTGCCCCCCCCCACAAATCTTCTGACCCCAGTGCTACAAAATATTAGGAAAATATAAATTACACAGGGACCTTCTTCAGGCGTTGCCTGCGATTGACGACCGTGCTAATAAAGTAAAGGACTGTTCCGTGCCACCAACTTGAAAAACTACCGTACATCAAAATCAAGTGGCCTAAGAGCAAGTGGGAAATGTGTTTAGGGCGAGGTTAGGTGCACAGTTCCTCACAAGGACGTCATGTCGCTGAATAATTTGTTGGGTGTGGGGAGGGGGGGGGGGCGGGAAAGGCGTACCCTATCACAAAATATGTATTTCACCTGGATTCTGGGCTTATCTCCAATCATTTAGAAAAGTTCACGCCCCCGCTTGCAGAATAATTGAAACACTAACCGAACCAGTACGACTTTGCTAGATGTTTCTAATCAAACTTTGAATGTCTTTTAATTGCCTTGCCTCCAATCACTTTGAATGCTGCACCTACCCTACGTTTCCGCCACGTCGCGGCGATGGAGCCAGCAGCGGCGGGGGCCAATGACACATTAGGGCACCAGTAACGTCGTTGCTCTGTGTTGAGTCGCACAGGATTCCACCAATAGGAAACCCAGTGATGCCCCCCCCCCCCTCCCCTCACTCCATTGTTTCACTCGCCAGCTGACACTGCCAGTGTCCGAAGAGCGCAGAAAAAATAAATTATCCTATGAATTATTATAAATACTGCGGTTTGTAAACAAAAACAAAAGAAAGGTATAGGAAGTGTCAAGGAAAAGAACGTTAGGTTCTCCAGTACCAGCAATCAAGTACATTTGTCGCTGTATTCACCTTGCGTCTTACAGTTTTAAGCAGAAGTAAACGAACAGAACATTGGCACTGCCATGGCAACCAGGGTAACAGTGACTCAGTGAACCAGCATAATACTAGTGTTCTTTTACCATGACAGACACCTATATTCTACTAATAGACATGGGATTGATTGGCGTCAAGGTGAATGTCTTCGCATGCCTGCAATTTGATAGGGGAGCCATCAAAACATCCAGGATCGCAGCGTCCAGTATTGCTACCGTCCAGGATCGGGGCATCCAGCGTTCGTAAAGTCCAGAAAACGTCCAATTCCGTTCCCATTGGGGGCGTTTATAAGGTCTAGGGACGCAACGTCCAGAGTCGCAAAGCCCAGAGTCGTAAAGCCGTGTTCAAAACGTCCAGTATCCATGGCAACCAGGCTAGTTTGGATTCCTGCCGCTAGATAACACTACAGAAGCATCTTTGAGTCCTGCCGCTATTTCCCTTTTTTGTCAACAGATGGCACAGTCAGCCTGACATTCCACTGATGATCACTTGATGCGCAGTCAATCATGGTTACTGTAAATTGCCTATACGCCTGGCGGCCGTGTCCGGCCTGGGCGCGACCGCGCACCGGGGCTCACCGGCGGACTGGGCGCGGACACGCCGGGCGGCGGCGCGGCCGGAGACATAGCGGGCGGCGCGGGGTCGGCGGGCACCGCTGCGCCGGCGGGTTAAGCCGGCTCCCCTCCCCCCTCCCCCCGCTGCTGCCTGGGCCCCAAATGCCGAGGTACACTTGGTTGGTCACGGGCCCGTCATATTGGTATCGGTTTGTTTCCACATGCATGGAGGACCCTGTGCTGTTGCGGGGCCCCACATAAGGTAACGCTCCGAGGTGCTTCATGCTCAGTGGCCCTCTTCATTGACCTTTCTTCTTTTGTATTGATTGACTCTTTTTTATTTTGATTTGACTTTTTCCCTTTTTGAGCTTACTTGTTGAGGACCCTTCACTTGTCAGAGCTCTCTCTGTTTACCAGCCCGGGCGCTCCTGATCGCACAGGGGCGTTAATTCATGTACACTGATCTTCGGTTATTGCCCTTTGTTCAGGGGACCCTGTACTCCGACCGGACCCCGTATGTTAGTCTGCCGGGGTGCTCCCGATCGTTCAAGGGTCTCATCATATTGGTGTAAGGTTCCTCTCGTTTGTTATGAGGACCATTCACTGTCCACTGGAGCCTCTTTGTTGGCCTGCCACGGCAGTTTCGATTGCTCAGGTGCCGTCATTATTAGTCTCGGTATTACAGTACGCCGTTGACGGGGACCTAAATCTTAATCACCGAATGTGGGGCTATGCCGATTACGCCGATGAATTCGTTTTTCCGAGGCCCGCGTTCAACCGATTGCACATTACATACATACAGTGATTGAGCGGAAGCATTGTCTGCAAATTTGACGGGCGGCGGTTTGTTTGTCGGGACGGGCTGTAACACCGATTGGGGCTTGACGTATCACCCGCTGCTATGGCTATTTCCAGGTGGAATGCCTCTATTACGTACGTAGCAGTCATTAGGTACGCAGGATGCCATAGTCGTGTGGCCAGGACTCCATCCCAGGACACAAAAGTCCAGAGATGAGCACCCTAACCACCAACAACCATGCCACCGTCGCCCCTCTGCGGTGCGAACTGCACCCGTCCCGATAAACTCCAGACTGGTGTTGCTGGACCCCAAATTCTATACTTCGGAGGTTCTGAAGCGTAAAAGGAAGAAAGCGCGTCAAGATTGATGAAGTAGATGGCGAATACAAGGTCAAGATTCTCCCAATTCATTCAGCTTGTATATCTCAAAGAAGCTCAGTGACGTACACTTCAGTCAGTACACACACGTACGTACACAATCAGTCCGCCTTGCACATCATTCATCAATTCCTTTAAAAAATGAGAAACATCAACGCATACAGTAAATAAGGAAACCAAATACCGCGGATAATTTTATCCATAGCCCACCTTTCCTTGATTACCGCGCAACTACTGCCGAGTAACCAGGTATTTCCGATGCCCCTAGCCAGAGATCAAGGTTTTGAATTATTTAGTGCGCCTGATGCCTAGGGCGTGCTGACGTGGTAAAGTTGGTGCGCTCAAACAAAATGTTGCCCATATCCATACCCAGTAGTTTAATTGTGCAGCACTCTACCGCATGACTTCACTCGTCGGCTGAGGCGGGCAAAATCGGCTCCGGTAGGCGTCTATCGGACAGTATTCGAACCATTAGGGAAGGGTGGCAAGGAAGTGGGGCAGTATCCCAACCCGTGGGTATCACGCACGCAGGACTGTATGAACACGGGACTTCACGAACACTGGACATTATAAACACTGGACGCTGCGAGCCTGGACTTTTTGATTCTCCTCTGTGCAGGGGTTTTGGGCGGTTTCTAGGTGTTATGAACGCTGGATACTGTGATTCGGGACTTTTTGACCACTGGGCTTTATTTTTGCATTTTTATGGCTCTATAGTATGGTTTTATGGTTTTATTGTTACATTTCTTATGGTTCTTGATGTGCAGTAATGTTGTGATCACGCACCAATAACGTAGCAATGGCACTGGGAGTCGAGGTTGCCGCGTGTTTGCGGCCCTCGCGAGCTCGCCACCCGAATTCGGAAAATTTGAAGGTAGGAACATGGATGTATCTGTTTTATGATCGTTTACGATATGTTCTGCCCTAGACACGACGAATGATGTGCCATGCTCTTTTTGAACATTAGGTACCAATGTAGACCTATACCTAGCCATTTCATCCTGGCAGTGACCTGGATGCCAGTAGGCCTGCTCACGGAAAATATCATCTTCGTATCAGTACCTTTCCAACCCCTCAACGCGCGAGCCCAAGACAACGCAGGATTTCGATCGGATCGGTGCGGCTGCCAAAGTCACTTATAGTGATGGGTAATAGCGCAAAGGAATAAATTTGCTGCACGCTTGGTTGCACGGGCTATACGCGGGGTCATAGTCCATCAACACGGTTATTGGGCTACTTCCTTTGAGCGTTGCGTTGTGCGAGCTGGTTTATCCTTCCACTTCCCCTGAGAACTTGCTTATTTTTCCCGGGAGATCCTTGCAAGCCTCCTTCCTCTGCGAGCCTCGTGTCCACAATGCAGTTTCGCTACTGGCATTGCCTTAATCTTACGATCACCTTTTCTACAATGGGGTAGGCCATCGTTGATTTGCAGCTATGATTTGTGTTTTTAATCTTACAAATGCACCACGGCTGGAAAATCAGCCGGCCTTTATGAAACATACCAAAGTACGGTTGTAGAAATTCTCGAGATGTTTTTTAAATTTTTGTGTGTGGTTTTGTATATGTGTAAGTTGTAGTTGTTGTTTGTATGTTTCTGTTTTATGAAACATGAAACACATTTTTACAAATACACCTACAAATTTACAAACTACAATGCAAATTTACAAGAAGCTGCCTTTATGAAAAAGGCTACTGGTGTGATGCCCACACGCCAGTGCAAGTGTGTGGAATGGTGGGTGGGCATATCATGGAAGGAATGATTAACCAAAATATGTCATAGTTCTGCATGGGTCTTGACTTATCACGCGATTGCATTGATTGATGTGGATATTCAGTTCTCCAATGCCTTGGTCTTCGCCAGTTGTGTGCAATATGAGTCACACTATCATGCAACATATAATTGTCCGAATCAGACACAATTCGCTACGGAAACAACGCTGGCGGTTGGGCAGCGAGACAATGTGCTTGAGTATTAAGTGTGCTAAAACTAAAGCCTCATACTTTTGGAGACCTAATGCAGCGAATTGTCTGTTGATGTGCTGGGATGTTGGTAGAGCCCGACCCGTATTGTTCCTGCCGTATTGTAATGTTCCTGTGTATTGTTGTGCATTGTTCCTGCTGGCAGGACGGACTGGAGGTGATGATGAACGTCCCCAAGAAGGCCAACGACGCCATGCACCTGTCCATGCTTGAGTATTGCGACGTCGACGTGGACACGCTGGGCGAGGTGAGCTGACCCCGAGGTCGGATCATCAGCTGACCCCGGGGTCGTGTCAGGTCGGTAGCTGACCCCGGGGTTGTCAGGTTGGCAGCTGACCCAAAGTAGTGTCAGGTCAGCAGCTGACCCAAAGTAGTGTCAGGTCAGCAGCTGACCCAAGGTAGTGCCAGGTCAGCAGCTCACCCCCACGGTCGTTTCAGGTCGGCAGCTGACCCCGAGGTAGTGTGAGGTTGACAGCTGGCCCTTGAGGTAGTGTGAGGTCGGCGGGCAGCTGGCCCCGAATTCGGGTGAGGTCGGCAGCTGACGTTGATGTGTAAGGTCGGCAGCTGACGCCGAGGCGTAAGAGATCGACGTCTGTGAAGGACGGTGACAGCTATGACGCTTCTGCAGATGACAGGACAGCCTGGACATGCGGTGGTGCCGCTCGTATGTGGTCCCGTCACATTGAGATGGCGCGGCATTGGTGATGCCGTTCCGCGACTGTTCGGCAGTGCCAAGCCCTGCCTGGTGGGGCATAGGGCAGCGGTGTCCTTGTGTCGGCTGATAGTGGGCGCTAGTGAGATGTGGGCTGGGTGGCAGGGAGACGGTGAGGCCATGTCTGGCCACGGTATGGCACGGACAGGTTTTGCCGGGTCAGAGCACGAAGCGAGCACGAGGTCAGTGCACGGGATCAGAGGGACGAGGCTCGCGGCTGGCGGCCGGTGTCGGTCGTGCCGGCCTGGGCTGCCTCACGCTCTGCCCGGCCTTTGTGTGGCCGTGTGGAGCGGCGTGCGTCAGGCACAGGCGACCGCGCCTCAAAGCCCGACTCGTCATATTCGTCACGTGGGCTTCGGCGCCCGCATTGCAGGAGCGACCGGCTGTCATCCGCACGGAGACCCGCGCTTCCTGTGTCATCGCCCCGTGGCAGTGGTTGTTGGCGCGGTTCGCTTTCGCGCCGCGCCGGTTGTCAGGGAGACGCGCCAATTGATTCGGACAGGTATTGGCAACCTGGCACCCGGCTCGGTGCGGGTGTCGCGCTGAGTGCCCCGCGCGGAAGCTGATGACTGTCTGGCTTCGTTGCAGGTCATATTGCAGGACTGCTTCCTGGTGTTGGATAGCAAGGGCCTGATCCGGAAGGGTCGAGACCGGCACCTCTTCCTCTTCGACTTTTATCTGTTGTTCAGTAAGGAGGTCAAGGACACCAACGGCAAGTCGAAATACATCTACAAGCACAAGCTGATGGTGAGATAGCGCACTGCTCTCGCTCTCGTATGACTCGTGTGGGGGGGGGGGGGGGGGGGGGGTACCACTGGTCGCCGTTGTGTTCGCCGGCTTACATTGGCTTCTTTTCGCTCCCTCGGCGTCTGACTTTCTCTGTATCTTCCTTCACATTTCTCCTGTTACCATTACCATCTTCTTCAGCTCGTTGGTTTCAGGCACCCACCCACACACCGACGCACGCACGCACGCACGTTCGCACCTACATACGCACGCACGCACGCACGCACGCACAATTTACTCACTCACCCATTCACTCGCGCGCGCGCGCACGCTCTCGCTCTTTGTTTTTCTCTTTTCGTCGTTTTCTTCGTGTGGATTTCACGCACACCTATCACGCAATAACGTTATCTTATTGATTACCTGACTAGCCCACCTCGGTCTTTCTGCGGGCGTGCAGGCTCTCGGTCTCGCACCGCATCGGATAAACAGGGTTCTAAGGGATGAAATCCATCTGTCCGATTCACATGTCAGTGGTGGCCGGATCTCCAAGCTGGGCGAGCCGGCGACTGGGGAGAGCGGAGGCGGCGTACTGCTCCCCCACCACGGGGGGGGGGGGGTCGATTCACATATTCAGTGGTGGCCGGATCTCCAAGCTAGTCGAGCCGGCGACTGGGGAGAGCGGAGGCGGCCCACTGCTCCCCCACCACGGGGGGGGGGGGTCCGAGCTGGCTTAGCTGCGGAGCAGCGCGCCGCCTCGAGAGGGGCGCCTGCTGCGGTGTCCGGTTATGGGGGGCCGCAGCTGGGCAGGATCCGTGTCTGTGGGCAGGGACTGAACCGAGTGCCCCGCTCACCCCCTCTGAGGCCGAGCCGAGCTGGTGGCGTCCGGCTCTGTCTGAGCGGAGTGGCTTTAAGCGAAGGCATTAGCAAACTGGCGTCCCGAAGACCACGTAGTATAGAAATGCCAAAGTAAAAAAATCACTGAAAATGGTGGACAATGAAATGTGAACTTATTTACGATTCCGGTGAAAGCTGCCCTTTGCTCGCGAGCACTTTCAAGTTGCGGAACAAGTCGAAGTCGAATACCTTAAACGGGAGGTACGTGTAAGGGAAGTTCGTCTTTTTCCGGTTTAGCGAGGGCTGATTATTACCATATATTTGCTATGTGTAATGAAATGAATGATGAGTCCCACACATTCATCGCAAATAACAAGAGATGAGTCAAAATAGGGTGAGTGATGTGGTTTCGTGCAGCGGGTGAAGTGAAAGTCCTGTCACTCCATACAGTTGTGACTTGCAGACGAAATACAGAACGTTGATGTTTGGAAGGCCGGGACGTGTCGTTGGTGTAGAGTTTTGTTCGGATGTGTGTTTAATGCCAGCACTCAAGCGTGCCGTTTGTTGTGATCAGCTGCGACTTATACATGGCTGATGTTTGTGGTGTTTTGGACTGCGATGGCCGCTTGATATCGTGTGGTTGGAGACTAGGTAAACATTCGGAAAGCAAGAAGTGAATGCCCATATGCATCCTGGGATCTGCTGAATGAAAGCGAATTTTGAAAGAAAAGAACGAGAACGGTTGCTACGTCATTGCGTGGCCGCAATTACGAAAGTTTTGGGCTCGTTTGATGGGTTTTTAGTTAATTCGGCGTCTCACTTTGCTTTTAAGATACACCAATAGTCGTCAACCAGAGTGTTGTGGTTTTTAACACTACTTGAGAATTAGAAGAACAGATGGGTGTGGCGCACCTTTCGCGGTACGCCCCGCCCCCCGCGTGCAGCCGGACGGGGCCAGGGGCCCGCGACGCGACGCTGCGGGCCTGGGCGCGGCAGCCGAGCGAGACACCGCTCGTAGCCATCCCGGGCAGGTGGAGGGCAAATTGTGATGAAAACTGTTGGCCGGCAGTTAGCGACTGACTGTGCGATGTCAGTTGAACACGACTGGAAGCTGCCAATGAAACAGAGGGCCGCTGAATGAAGGAGGGGAGGGTGGAATTGCTGAAAGTGGGGAAAGCTTTTAGCGATTATTGTGTTCCCCGGCGCGATTTCTCGCTCTGTGTTGATGTTCGCTGTTAGGATGCTACTGATATGTCTTCGAGTGGAAATGCGAAAGTCGAATTTCATTTGCGAACTAGAAGGCCCTCCAACTGCTCTCAGTACCACGAAGCGTTAATTCGTGCTAGTTGTGCCCATCTTACGGATCACCGGGAGAGCCCAGGTATCTGTTGACCTCCGGATGAACCGGCCGACCCTCCCTGACCCCGTGTTGGAGCTGCTGAATGTTGTGGAAGGTCGAGCTGGCGGGCGCGGTCCGCTGACGGGTTCGGCCGGCTGTGCGGCGCGCCGGCCCCACCAAACGCCGGCCGTGACCGGGCGCTGCGCCCCTGCCGCAGACGTCCGACATCGGCGTGACCGAGCACGTAGAGGGCGACGAGTGCAAGTTCGCCGTCTGGACCGGCCGACCGCCGCTCAACGACGTTAAGATACTGCTCAAGGTGACGGCTGCACCGTCCGGCGGCCGCGGCGCCGCGCCGGACGCCCAGCAAGCTCTCGGGGGAGAGGCCTGGCGACTGTGGCCGCTGTCGCTGCCATGCTGGGAGACGTGACCAGTAGCGCGACGTCGGCCGCGGTCGCGCAGTGCCCGGCCTGGGACTACGGGCTGGGTTGACGCCCCGCTATCGGCTGGTTCAAGGCGGCAGCGCTGTTGCGCACTGCGCCCGCATGCGCCCGGTTACTTCAATAGACACGTGACTAGTTTGCTGCGACGGACATGAAACGTAGCCATCCCGTCTTCCGTGCTTTAACGACGACGGTCGTCGACGCACGTACGCGGCGCTGGTAAGTATGGGCGCGGTTGGGACCGGCCCGAGGAGCGCTGCCGTGTTGAGCCGGCCGTCGGTGACGCCATCGGCCCGTAACACCGGCTCGGTGCGGCGCTCCGGCAGGCCAGCAGTCTGGAGGTGAAGCAGCAGTGGGTGAAGCGACTGCGCGAGCTCATCCAGGAGACCTGCTTTCGCTCGTCGCTGCCGCTGCAGATCCCGCCGTCGCCCTCGAGGAAAGTGCAGAAGACGAGCAGGTGAGCCGCACCGACGCGGCTAGGTCGGCGGGGACCGGGCTGGCGCGGGGGTCGCGCTCAAGCCCCGGCCAGTAGTGGGAGCCCCGGGCGGACTGCGTCGGCGTGGAGGGTAGGTACGGCTGGGACAGACGGTTGCTGTGTGGCCCGGGAGTAGACTGGGCGCCGGCCGTGTCCGCCACTTCGCGGTGTTACACTGACGCAGCCGACACCGCGGCTGGAGGCGGCCCCACGCCAGAGGCGTCGGCGAGCTTAGGTCCTAGCTGGCTGAAATCCAAGCATGTTGTTCCCGACATCTGTTCGTTCGACACTCATGCATGCCAGCTGTACGTGCTTGTTGACCTTTGTTGCGTTTCCGTACATCTGCAAAGATTCAGTTGGCTAATACCGCCAGGTGAATTGTGGCAAGTCACGGCTGGGTGTGGCCAGTGAGCAGACCGTGATTCAAAGCTGTTTGTCTAACGATGATTGGGCCAGGCCGGTAGGCATCCGATGGCTTGAGACTGGAGACTTTGCTGCTCCACAGAACTCCAGATGAGAAGTGCGCCAATGTATTGCATGAACTATCACGTTGTCAGCAGATCATTGATGGGAGGCAATCACGGATGTTGGGAAAGCGGATATGTCATGTGAGTATGAGCAATGCTTTAGGAAAATTTACACCGTGCTGGGAGCTCCGTTTGATCGGGAGGTCTTCATATTATCCAAGGTACAGAATATCCAAAGGTACAGAATGTCCAAAGTTCATAATGTCCAAGATACATGATGTCCAAAAGGAGAAATAAGGTCCAAAATGGCACAGAGTGGAAGGGCCCCGTTTCATAATGCCCAATGTGCATAATGTCCAAGGTACAGAATGTCCAAAGTACAGAATGTTCAAAGTACAGAATGTCCAATGTGCGTATTGTCCAAAGTACAGAATGTCCAAGAGCCAGAGCTTCCAAAATAGTTCTTGGAGCGGCCGCCAGGGTGTGAATAATCGCCCTTATTGGTAGGCAGCGTTGCTCCTCCCAGCGTCCGCCGAGCGCATACAGTCGGCGCCAGTGCGAACACTACATGCATGCCGTCGGGGGGTCGCATAGCAACGGATTCATTTCCCACGCCGGTGCAGAGATGGTTTCGCATGCTGTTGGTCAGCGAGGCAGCGCTCGACTTTCAAGTGATCGTTGAGTACGAGACGAGTGGGGTGGAGTGGGGCGTTGGACACGCGCGGAGCTGCTGTGAAAGCGTCGCAGCGCTGCCCTAAGCCGGCGTGGCACTTGTTTTGTGTCTGACCGGTGGCGTGTTTGCTGTTTGGTCATAGCTTTATGCAGCTGGAACCTCTTGTTGCAACTGCTGTTCATTCTAAGTGATCGCAGCAATTATCATCGTTTTCACCACAATTAGCCTACAGCGTCCAAAGGAGCAAACGTTGCAAGAAAGGGGAAAGTATGGGTATCACTAATTTATGCCTCCTATCGGATTAATAGCCTGTTGCTGATCATTTATCACTGGCATCTAGGTCAAGGGCGAAACATGTTACAAAGCACGCTACATTACAAATCATAGGATATGGTTCAATGAAAAGCCATTTGTGGTCAAGGTACGGCACATGATCCCATTTAAAACGATTAGCTGGTGCATCAACAGATTGGTAGATAATTTTCATCGGTGTGGATTCCCCACATCAGTTTATTGGGTCTGTCAGGGGCGGCGCCAGGAGATATAAGTTGAGGAAAGGCTTTTCCAGAGGAGTTCTTGAACAACATGGTGTCTCCTTTCAGAGAGGGGGGGGGGGGGGGGGGCTCTCAGGCCTGGTCCTTTTGAAGCGGGCTCCGAGGCATGTGACATGTTAGTCCTCATTTAACTGGACCATGCATTAATATTCATGTAAATCAATGTCGACAAGAAAAATCCAGAAGTGCGTAGGTGAGTGCGTAAATGTTAAACTGTGTTTAACTGTAGTTTCAGTGCGTAAACGTGACATCGGTCAAGTCGTGAACTAGGAACTCTGAATGAGGGGCCAAACGCATAAAAATACGTCAAGTTGTCATAAGTTGTCAAAACATGGCTGTTGTCCTCTACGGCTGTCCATTGATTCCCCCGAGCCAGTAACTCATAAAGCAACGAAGCAGTTTCGCCGTTGACGAAGCAGCAACGGTGAGCCTGTCTCCCGAGCTGGGAAAGATGAGGGTCATAAAAACTGTATGTTCGGAAGGCTTAATGCCCGGAAGATCTATACGTGGAATACCCGCACTCGGATTGCTCACGCTCAGAATACTTCGGAATAACCTTCTTCTCACCCGGATGAGACCTTAAAAGGAAATGGGGCAAAGAGCGAATGTGGAGCGCTGAGGGCGAATAACAGGGGGACCAAACCTACCCACACCGTCACATGTGGGCTAGGCAGCACGCACTAACTGAGCTATGGCGACGTCTCTGCTACTAAAAGTTCCACCAGTCCAATAGGAAGCACTGTTTAGCAAGTCATGAGATCGCGCCGGGCTGAGAGGTGGCTGTGCTTAGTTTCATATATCTAGGAAGTGAGTTTGTAAAGTGGGCGAAATCTGAGGACAACTTCGGTTTTTTGGATATGCTCGCCTTACAAGAGAAGTCCGTGACACTGCCTCTGTTCATCGCATGAGAGTAAACCCAGAAATTCATCACCCGTTAAAAGAAAAAAGGCAACGATTACACGTGTGGCAACCGTTAATGTTTACAACGTTACTGTAACACACACACACGCACGCACGCACGCACGCACGCACGCACGCATGCACGCAGATTTTTTTCTCACAATTATGAAATATATGCCCAAACACAGGTACGTCTGTATACCGGGAGACTCGTGGCTACGCCAAGATTCTATGCCAATATTTCCAAAATATTATGATAAATCAACAGTTCCAGGTAGTACACGTGGCCACCTGTAAATAAGCTAACGCGTAACGCGCTACTCAAAAGGCCTGGGAATGGCCGCAACTGTTACAAATCCGTGCAGATCCTGACAAGAAAAGGTATTAAAGTAATCAAGCACGCAATTTTCTATATCCTAATGTTAGGCACACAGCACTATGATATGGCTTGCACGATACATCGATGGCTAGGCCGGAAGGTTTCGATGAACTGTATCACAGATCAGAAAGCAATTCGTTACAGGAAATCAGTGTCCAAATGAATCAGCAGACAAGTCTTGCTGAACGTACCTTACCTGAACAACAGCGCTAACAACCATTATTTCACGATGGTGCTTGCGATTTTATCCTCTGTCAAAGTTTGCCGATACGCAGCGATTCTTATATCCTTGGTCCGCGTTGTCTTATGCCGTTGCTGAAATCTGTACGTAAAAGTTTAAGTATGTTATAATGTGTGCCATTGGTGCATGTATGTCGACTACTTCCTCCCCTAATTGTGAGCATACGCCGTCCGTGGACATGTGTCCCCAGGTGTTCATTAAACGAGCCTGAGTGCCATGCATTATTCTTATATGCAATTTCACTGGAAAAAGATTACAAGACATTTTGTGTACATCCTCTGCGTGCAGAACCATACACCATATATTGTGTTTTCTGCTCTATTCTGTGCATTTTCCTTTCGACCATTGAGACCATGGGTGTAGGTACGGGGGGGAGGGGGGGCAGGGGACCATGGACCCCCCACTCTTCAAGGCGGGGGGCTTGCAATGTTAACTGCCCCCCCCCCCTTCCATTTTTCAGATTAAGGTTGCATTTGGCTTACTTTTGTACTACATGTAGCATGCATGCCGATTTACCTAGTTCACCAGACATTGCCCTCAAGATGCGTCATCTTTTTCGTTTGCTCATTGGCCATCTCTTAGTGTTACAGCCGCAAGGCCGACGCCGCACGGGCTGGAGACTACAACGCTGGGCGTCGAGGCTGTTGTTGCTATGACTTTGGAGTGCGCATGTTCAAGACCATATTGCGTAGTCCTCTTATCAGTAATCAGTTATGACAGGATCTTGAGCATATTAAGACGAACATGGGTTAGCCATGTTAATACAAATTAAGAACCCCATTTCATCTACATTCTACCGTCCGGGAGAACTCAATATCGCTGAAGAACACAGAAAAATACGGAACTAGAGTATATGTGACAATTATTGAACTATCTGCGGTGATCAGGGATGTTGTTGCGTCAGTGAGGGTTCCTGTGCTGATCCGGGGCTAACTGCGCGGGTCAGAAGGCCTCCCGTGTCAGAAATGGGAACAATGTGATATGATATATCCTTGTAATGGCCTCCGGATCGACCAGGAGATCCCGCCCCGTGCCACCAGAATGATAACCAGAAGACACTGCGATGGAACGGAATGGCCCTTCGGCCCTTGACCGGAAACGGCAATGTACCCTGATGTTCTGCTCAAGAGGCCCCCTACCCAGAAGGAAATAAGGGGTCTAAGTATTGTTGAATAGGATGGGTCGAAATAAGCTTAAAAACGAGCAAGTTCATGCCATGTTTGCCAGAGAGCGTTCATTTTTCAGAATGTGCTAGTAAAGCAAATTACATCAAAAGGCTTGAGCATGCCCGCCCGCAACCTGGAGAGCAAGGACAAGGATCGTCTGGTTTGCAGCTTCCGTAAAACAAAAAAGTTTCGGCCACTATAAGTGCCACCAGACGACGGGCGCCGTGTCAATCTGTCTTCTGGATGGATAGATACTTGCGAAAACACGAGAAATAGAGATCTTGCCTTCACTCTTCCAGTTCAGTTACCAGATTCCAGCCCCACTTCACGGTGCTTTAAGGGCCAATCCGTTGTTCTCATCAGTCAAAAAATTGCACACGTGAAATATGCGCTCAATACTTTTACTTTACTTAAGAATATTTAAGAATAGTTTTTCAGGAGCGTCAACATTATCGTCCACCCACTGGCCACAGCTTAGTATCAACTGCTAGGCCGACGCTGCGCAGCCTTCGGAGACTGCAACGCCTGGTGTCGAGGCCTCTGTTTCTAGGATTTTAGAGTGCGCATACTCAAAATTTCGTCACGTAACTTGTGTTAATATT